CGCCTCTCCTCCCACGCTTGGCCAGCACAGGGGGCTGCAGGAGCTGTGGCTCCCCTCACCCTTCCACACATGGTAACCCAGTACCCAGGTCAAATCCAAGTTTTGGAGTTCAGATCAGGAGCAAATGGATAAGTGCAATCCACGCCGTGCTAGAGATTGCACAGCAGCTCAGATTAGCTGGTGCAGTGGTCTCCTCTGGCCGTTCAAGCTGTCAGTTTCAAACACATGTTGGGCCGTGTTGGAGAGCAAACACGATGGTGAGGTACCCTTGCAGGATGGAAAACCTGTGGTTGATGCTTACAGATGCTGAGAAGCCTGTCAAAGCATTTCTGGGTACAGAGGGCTGGGTACAGGATCTCAGTCAAGGCAGGATGAGAGTGGAGAGTTATTGTCCAGAGGCACATCTAGAGAGTTGCCGCATTCATCACCACAGCTCTCGGTCTAAGTGCTTTTGAATCTATTTAGACTCTGAGAGACAGCACAGAGGTGGTGACCAGAGCTCAGCCCATGCACCAGTCCCACAGCTTCACGGGCCAAGAGTGTTCTCTCAAGGAAAAGTTCAGGATGTGCTTCAGATGTCACATGGCCCGATGGATAGAACCAGCCCACACTCCTTCCCAAGGGTGCAGTTCTCAACCCAGAGAAGGGCTATGAAATCTACAGCCAAAGGACCATAAAACCCTTAAATCACCATCTGTGCCCATTCAGCAGGGAAAGACAGAGCACATAAATCTCCACAGGCTCCCTTTTAGTAAGAAGGATAGGCAGGGACTTCTTTTCTGGTGGCATTTCAAGTGCCTTTAATCAGACACGTCATCTGGATTAGTCTAAAAGAATGTTTAGTGTCTATATCTTGCCAGCTGGCTTACCCCCTTGTTCAGGCTAATCCCAGCATCACACAGAGACCAGACCAGACCTTCAGGGCTCATTTGAATGAGAGTGACCAGGGTAGGAGAGGACACTCAGTGGCTGGGTTCAGTCCTAAAACATTCCACTGCTGCCATTAAGCAAGTATCCCCTCTGAGTCAAAGGTCTCTTAGGGTTCCCATAACAATGAGTGGCCACATCAGGACTGTCAGGGCAAATCAGTGATTAAATCAGGTGTCTCTTACACTGTTGGTTGGGCTTGGGATGAAGACCAGTGCTGGGATGGGACAACCCCACTCTGCAAGCTTGTAGTAAACAGCTGCCTGATCCCAAGCTCTTGTGCTGGCTGGAGGAGGTGAGTGACAGCAGTGGATCATCCTCTCAATGGCTTTGACTTACCCTTGGTGTGGGCAAAATGGAAAACATCCCATCACTGCCTGCCTGCAGGTGTTCCAAACATAGTTCTTCATAGTGGATGATTTGAACAGGCAGCAGCAGGGACAGAAATGCACAGGTCTGGGAAGTCAGGTCTGTTCTCCATGTCAATGCACTGTGATGTGACTGCATCACAGGTTAAGATTGCATTTTAGGAGAAATTTCTTGACCAAAAGGTCTGCCCAGCCCTGGCAGAGGCTGCCCAGGGCACTGAGGGGTTTAAAAGCTGTGTGGATGCAGCACAAACAACTTACAAACACTTCCTAAAGTCTTCTTCCATCCACCGTGCTCCGCCTATAATACAAGCTGTGCTTTTCAAACCGTAATTACCCACCAGAAGAACATTACCCAAATATCCATTTAATTTTCTGTAGCTGAAGTTCAACGGAGGCAACAAGGGCTCACCAGCTCCACAGATTCACCCACACAGCTTTGGTAAAGGGACAGCTCCAGAGCCTGGAGCAGTGATATGAAAGGCAGGAGGACTTCCCAGGTCAGGAGCATTTGTAAGGGGCTGAGCAAACACCACAGGCAAGCGGCTGAGCCTGTAGACTTTCAAAGTGGATCAGGAGGAGCCTGATGCAGTGGTGAGTGTGTTCTGCAGCAACACTCAACGCCAGGAAGCAGGATCAGTGTCACCTGCAATAATGGTGCCTGGCTTTGATACTCTCCATCCGTCCCACCCCTCCCACTTTTCCTTGCACTGCAGGTTTTTCTGTTGCTGTTTTTCTCCCTCCAGCTTGGAGAGGATGAAGTGGACGCAGAGGGGAGATGGGCAGCCCACGGCAGCTCCCCGAGAAGGAAGGGGGTACAGCTCCACTTTCTCCTGCTCAACTGACAGAGACCAGACAGAGGGAAAACTCCTCTGGCCTCCCAGCTTGCCCTCCCAGCACTTCCCAGAGCCAACCCCTTCAGGGAAGAGAGCCAGATGTGACAAAACACGAGGGTTTTGTGCCGAACATGTGCAGGTTGGCACACGCAAAGGACTGGGGAGGACTCACACGTGCTGCTGAAGTAATTGAAGTAGAAAACTTTGGAGCTGATTTTAAGACCTAAAGGGAGGGAGGGGGAACAGTTGCCTTCACCCTGGTCACTGAGTGAGTGGCTGCATTGTCATCATGGACACAGCCACACATAAAACTCCTCGTTTCGATCCTCAGTGACAAACCTGGGACCAGGAGGGACGAGCTGTGCCGTGCTCATCTCCAGCCACGTGCTGCAACCTGGATGCAGGTCATCACTGGCTAATCATAGAGTCATGGGAACATTTAGGTTGGAAAAGCCCTCTAAGATCATGGAGTCCAGCTGTTCTCCAGCACACATCAAGCTCAAGCCATGTCCCCAAGTGCCACATCCACAGGGCTTTTAAATCCTTCCAGGTATGGGGTCTCTACCACTGCCCTGGGCAGCTGTGCCAGGTCTGGACAGACCTTTTAATCAAGAATTTTTCTCTAATATCCAATCTAAACCTCCCCCGGTGCAACTTAAGGCCATTTCCTCACATCCTGTTGCTTATTATTGGTGAAAAGAAACTGAGTTCTCCCCCACCCCCCAGCCTGATGTCACAGAGTCTGTGGATTGTATTGCCACAGATGGTCTTGTTTACAAAATTTTTTGGCTGATTCAAATAGGTAGTAAATATTTTCAGCTATACATTATCAACTCTGTATTTTAAACATTAAAACGCTTCATTTCAAATATCCATCGCATGGTCCAAAAAGAAAATCAATCCACAGACAAAACTCAAAGGATTTGTACTGCTGCATTGATTTACCAGGTATTTTTCTAGATGCTGGAGTCAAATATTAGAGAGGAAGAGGTTCATACTAAGTGTTAACTGCAGCTATTCTTTGCATTAATCATTTATGCTTCACTGTAACAAGATGTTTTTAGCATGGATTTCACTTTAATCTTTTACTTCAATCCACTAAATCCCACGGGGCCAAGAGCGGTGAAATGCTTAGAAAGAGTCACAACACCAAAAACTTTACATCACAAATAGATGAAATCAAACAGCATATGGAGGAAGAAGAAGGGAAAAAGGCAGATATCACAGAGGGGATAAGGATACAGGTCTAGCATTTGCTGTTTCAACCACCCATAGCCTCAGATTTCCCTGCTGCTGATGGCATGAATTATGTTTTACAGCTCGTAAGGACAGCTTACAAAGTAATCAGACCCCGGGTCCTGATGCACAGGACGGCATACACAGGGACTGGGCAGGGCTCTAAGCCTTTATTTGAGGTAACACCACCCTTGCCTGAATAGCAACCATAAATAACATCTGGGTACTCTCAGAGCCTCCTCCTAAACTCCTGGGAAAAAGAGAAATCCTTTCCTTCACAAACACTCCAACCAGGACAAAGAAAGGGCTCAGAAAGCAGCAAACACACTTCACGCTACCAAATCTCAAAGTCCCTCTTCTGGGAGATTTTGCCCAAGTTAAGAAGGGAACACAGGAGGAGAGTTTCAAGAGAAGGGGTGAGAAGCAAAGGGGAGCCCTGGCATCCCTGCTGGGGGGTAGGGCTCTGGATCCTGGCACAGAGAAAGTGGCAGCAGCATCTTGCACTGGCTCTGGGAGCCCTCCAGTGGCTGCGAGCCCACCGCTGCCTTCAGAGGGAATCGGGGAATTGTTTGGAATGCGAGGGACCTTAAAGCTCGTCTCGTTCCAACACCCTCCCGTGGGCAGGGACACCTTCCACTAGTCCAGGGTTTGGTCCAAGCCCCGTCCAACCTGGCCGTGAATCCTGTGGGTGCTGCTGTCCCTGTCCCCACCCAGGAGATTAATCAGGCACACATCAACCTTTCCCTGACCTGAGGCAAGAGAAGCAAACCTCAAGCTAAAGGCAGACAGGGAATACCCGCCCCCAAGGTTAAATTTAACCAAATCATGGGATTACCATATGGGAGATGATGTAAGGAAGGGGAGCACAGTCAACTCCCCACAAGCCCCCAAATTCTGGAGATTAGCAAACTGCACAGTAAATTGAGAGAAAAGCTAAAGCCAGAAGGAAGGAAGCGAGCATTTGCACAAGGATGCTGGGCAAAAGCTGGAATTTAGCTTATTCCAAACACAGGTTAACAACAAGCAAGGAATGACTCATAACTCATCAGGGTCATGTGGGTCTGGACAAAGCGGGGTCACAGGAGTCACCAGCACTCACCCACTACTGAACCTTGGCACGAGTGCTCAGATGATTTCCTAAAAAAGTGTGTTTTGGGGTGGGGTTTTTTTTTTTTACAACAACAAGTGAGCACAGTTGGCTTGCAGGCTCCAGGTTCAGGAGGAGGAACTGCCTCAAACCAGGAGAGAAAGGGTCTTGCTTGGCAACCTTTCAGGCAGATTGCAAGCATTTCCTCCAGACTGGTGAGTTGGTAGCACTGGAAAGTGGTTCCCTCCTGCCCCATCATACACCTGGTGTGGGTGTTTGCAGCCCCAACCCTCAAATGCCTTCCTTCAGCTGGAAAATCGTTATGCCCTGATTCCCTCTGGTGTAATTTTCATATGACTGACCACAGAACTATTAATATCTGAACCCAGAGCTGGTTCAGCTGAACAGCTCACTCCCTCCAAGGACAGGAAAACCACAACTTCTTCCATCCCTGGAAAAACCTTTTGTGCCTGCAAGACCATCAGCTCAGATGTAATGAGGCAGTTCTGGTTTGCTGATGCACCTGAGGGGAGAAGGTCAACCAGCATGAGAGAGTTTGGCTTGGTTCTCCTGTGTCTGCTTCGCATCTCCAGGAAGGGTGAGTCCTGCGTTTTGCTGAGGTTGCTACCAATCCCTGTTTGATCAGGGCTTCTCCCCTCTGCTCTAGACAAAGCGCCAGGGGGGCATTGCCTGATGCAACAAACTCTCCAAGGATTGCACCATCCACCACGCTGCTTAAAAGGACCGTGAAATTCCAGGTGCATCTGAGAACACTGGAAAAAAACCTCAGACTTGGCTTAGCAGTTGTCAGAGAGGTCTTTGGGTTGGAAGGGGGGGGGGTGTGGGAGGGGGTGGTTTGCATGTTTTTTGGGGTTTCAGTGAGGTAAATGCAGCATTTCCATCTCCACCCAGAAGTGCTTCCTAGCATTCCTGGGAGGTATTATGCAACAGACACAATTTTCTCCAGTTCCACTGATCACTTAAGCTCACATTTAACTTCAGTGTGCGCTTAAATTCCATTAAACTCGACGGAATTTGCTTAGATACAATGTCAAACAGCACTTGCTAGAGCAAGGGCAGTGCCTGGGGTGGTCTGCAGCTCTTACTGTAGTCTTCTCAACCCTTCCATAGACAACCAGCAGGTGCTGTGACCTGACAACTCCTTTTGGTTGTCGCCTTCTGTAAGGTGGGCAGGCTATTTGCCCACGACCTTCTCTCTCTCTGTTACGAGAGCTTCAATTCCAGGAACAAATGGAGGCTGGATGTTAGCAAGAGGAATAATAGAAGACCTGAATTTTTAAGGTTAAGGGTAAATTATACACAGAATGTTGACAACTCCCTCCACTCATAACTAGGCAAACTGTGTTTCCATGGAAATGGGTGGAGCTGGTAACATTAGAAGCACTTATTTTTAACGTTATTTTTCATCTGGAAGGCAAGGGGAGGCTTATGTGTTAAAAAAAAAAAAAATAAAGTGTTCGTTGCTTAAGATTTAAAACAAAAAAAAGTCAAAGAGGTGGCACAGCAAAAGCAAGTCAGGTACTCAAAAGCACATGATCTGCAGTTCTCAAGAAGTAAAGGTTACAGTGACATGCTGTAAAATAACTAGAACAAGGACAAATAAACTGGAAAACAATAGCAATTTCTGTTTTCACTGCCAGGTCCTTGTGCTTAAAGTCCATGAGCTTCCTGAAGCTCCTGCAGTCCTGTAGCCTTGTATGTGAGATTACCTGGGCAGGAAAAGGTGCCCATATTATTGAATGACAGGGCAGCCTGAACTCCAGATCTCAGTAATCAAAATACTGGCTTGGAGCTGATTCCAGGTAAATAAATGAACAGCAGAGAACCAGCCCTGGGATGGCCTTTGTCCATTGTGCAGTGCACAATAGATTAATACAAGGTGCACTGCCCCCGATGTATTTGTCAAGTGCTGTGGACAGCAGACACGGGAACAAAAAACAAATCTTATCTTTGAGTCTACAGGATTAATCTGACAGCTGAATGCCCACAAAACGTGGTGAAGCCAGCTAGACCAGGGCAGGAATTACTTGCAGGGCACCTTTACGTTTTCTGGGTATTCTCAGCCGCTGAGGGGAAAGCTGATTTAATGAAGACATCAGGTCAGTTTTATAAGACAGGAACATCGACACAGATGTTTCTGAGACTACAGTCTGCAGCTACAGCTGTTGATTCTAGCAGGACAGTGGGTAGACAGACATACCTATATATTCAACTGAAGGAGGGGAGATTTAGATCAGATATTAGGAATAAATTCTTCCCTGTGAGGCTGGTGAAGCCCTGACACTGGTTGCCCAGAGGAGCTGTGGCTGCTCCATCCCTACAAGTATTCAAGGCCACACTGGACAGGGCTTGGAGCAACCTGGAACAGTAGAAAGCGACCCTTCCCATGGCAGGGGGTTGGAACAAGATGACCCCCTCCAACACAAACCATTCTGTGATTCCATGATCTCCTCTTGCTCCCAGGTGTGCAGTCCAACAGCTGGTCCGTCCACGTCCCGTCTGATGTTACTGGTGAGCTTGGGAAGATGGTGATCCTGCCCTGCACCTTCACACACCCCTACAAGGCCTTTGACCGGACCCTCACTGCCATTTGGAGGATCAAGGAGCCTTACAACGGCACCATAGTGTTCAAGTGCGTGAGCCAGAGCACCAGCGAGCTCTGTAAGACTGCCATCAGCTACAAGAACAAGTACAAACTGCTGGGCAACCCCCGGCACAAGGACCTCTCCATCAGGATTGACAACCTGACCTGGAGCGACAGCGACAGATACTTCTGCAGGGTGGAGCTGGCCGGAGATATCCACGACAAGTATGAAAGCAGGAGTGGGATAAAGCTGCACCTGATTGGTAAGGGGGCACGAGAAGCACAGGAGGCAAAGCCTTCCTGTTTGGAAAATGAGAGCCACAAGGTGTGGAAACTGATGAGACGGTAACAGGAGTTTACCTGAGGCGGTTTTCCAAATGGTTGGCTCTTCCGGCTCTGTGGATAGTTTAGAACATATGGGCAGGGCATATTCACTGTCTTCCTCAGTCTTCCAGTGTGAGGCAATGAACACAATGAATGGGAGGGAATAGGAGCAGAACTGGTAAGGAAATAGCAAGGCTCTGGCAGTTGGGGTAAGAGCCCACCAAAACCTGGGCATCTCACTTTGCATGCAGGAAACAGTGAGTACAAACAGCCTGAAAAAAATCAAACAGCCTGAAAAAACCAAACAGCCTGAAAAAACCAAACAGCCTGAAAAAACCAAACAGCCTGAAAAAACCAAACAGCCTGAAAAACCAGCTCAGAGCAACAAATGTCAGATGCTAATCCCGCTTCCCAGAGTGAGGTGGGATTGCAGATCAAGGGAGAGCTGTGAGACCCAGGTGGCCTCGGAAACAGACTCAGATCTTACTCATGTCATGAGGTTGGATGGTTCTGCTTGTGAGGGGGAACCTCCTTATGCCTGCTGTGCACTGTGAGCATCCAGATGGGACTCGAGGTTGGGGGGAATTTGCACAGTCAAGGCTTTCCTTCCCATGGAGCAGCTCCTAAACACCCACACACATCATGACCAGGGCAGGATGGCAGCAAGACCTGTCTCTCATGGGCTGTCTGGACTTTAGCACCAGAGGAATGATAACACACACAGATACAGCATCCAGGCTTGGGAATGGACCCTGACAGTATGACTGGGAGGGGCCAATTAATGCTTAAAAGGTTAATTTAGACAGCAAAGCACACAGACACATGACACACCACCTGAAACTCCTCTTGCATTATATAGACAAGGGGGAAGATGTGCTGTAGGTGGTTGCAAAAGATATTTTTGTTCTTTACCCTGTAAAAAAAAATAAATTAATTAACTCCTGCTCTTCCTCTGTGAGGGCAGTCACGCAGCTCCCTTCACTTTTCACAACATCTTTAGAAACCAAATGCACTAAATGGGTCAGGAGAGCCAAGAGGAGAGCATTGGTGGGTAAGACAAGCTTGGTCACAGCAGCTACACTTCCTTAGCAGACTAGACTGACAGTGACGTGTTCAACAGCACATCTCTTGACATTTTGCATCCCTGAAATGGTCTAATCACATCCATGTGTGCTCTGGAGGTCAGAGACCAAGGGAACAGCCGAGAGAGGCTTGTGGAGAGCACCATGGTTGCCGCGTCCTCGACCATGAGGAGATGCAGCGAGTCCAAAAAGGGTCACCACCTGTGCCTGTGTGGTGGATGGCACTTCTCTGCCTTCTGCCATCGTGGAAGGTCACAACAGCTGGAGTTGACTGAAGCTCAGAAAACTGTGTGAGGTATTACAGGAATAAAACACAAACAGAGCATCCTTGCACCCACACTTTGCTGGGTAAATCTCTTTGCTCCTCTATCCAACAAAGGCAGGAGGAGGAAATCTAGGGGAAGAAGGTGGCAAGAAAAGTAAGGAAGGAGAAGGCTGATCCCAGCATTCGTAGGATCATAGAATTGTCTGTGTTGAAGAGGATCTTTGAAGCTCATATTGTCCAAACCCCCTGCCATGGGCAGGGATATTTTCCACTAGCCCAGGTTGCTCCAAGCCCTTTCCAGCTCGGCCTTCAATACTTCCAGGGATGGGGCACCCACAGCTTCTCTGGGCAACCACCATTTTAAAAAACTTCTTCCTTATATCCAATCTAAATCTCCCCTCTTTTACTTAAAAAAACATCATCACCACTTGTCCCATCACAACAGGTCCTGCTAAAAAATTTGCTCCCGTTTTCCTTGTAGACCCTTTAGGCCCCGGAAGGGGCTCTCAGGTCTCCCTGGAGCTTTCTCTTCTCCAGGCTGAACACCCCCAGCTCTCTCAGCCTGCTTCCAGAGCAGAGGGGCTCCAGCCCCTCAGAGCATCCCCATGACCTTCTCTGGACTCTCTCCAACAGCTCCACGTCCTTATGATGTTGTTCCCCAGGGCTGGAGGCAGCTCTGCAGGGGGGTCTCACCTGAGGGGGCAGAGAGGCAGAACCCCCCCTTGCCCTGCTGCCCACGCTGTGGGATCAGCCCAGGGCACGGGGGGTGGTTCTGCGCTTCAAGTGCATCACTGGGTCATGTCCAACCTCTCACCCACCAACACCCATCACCCAACTTTACCTTGCCATGACACACCCGGGGTCCGCCAAGACCGAGAGCTCCTTCCAGGTGTCTCTCACCGCGCCTGCCTCTGCAGCCTGACACGCTCTCCTTCCCTCCCCTGTTGCCATTCCCTGCTGCAGCTGCCCCCAGGATCATCAACATCACGGTCAGCTCCAAGGGGGATCACACGTTCCAGGCCCGCTGCACCGCCGAGGGGGAGCCAGCGCCCGCCCTGACCTGGACAGGGCCCCCCTACCCCAACCTCACCTCCACCAGCAGCGCGGGCCACCGGGTCACCAAGGAGCTGCGGTACCTGACCCACGACGGGAAATACACCTGCACCGCCGTCAACAGCCACGGCAGGGCCGAGGGGGCCGTCTACTTCTACAAATTCAAGGCCTCCGACAGCTCCTTCTTCATGGTCCTGGTCTTGGTGCCGCTGGGAGTCAAGGTGCTCGTTCTGCTGGCCATGCTGAGCTGCACTGTTTTCTCCAGAGAAGGTCAGTGTCGTGCCTTCCCGCCCAGGGGGGGTTTGTTTGGGGTTTTGGTGGTTTTTTTTTCCGAAGGATTTTGTTATTTTCCACCCTAGGAGAAGGGCGTTTCCAGCGGGAAACCTAAGTACGAGTAAGAGGGAGCTCCTGGCTGGCTGGTTGCAGCCTGCTGACAGAGGGTCTCCTTTGGGAAGGGGCCCTGGAAAAGACAGAGGGAGCGGGAGTTTCCCCGCATCCAAGGAGAAAGGTTAATAAGCTAACAGATGGGCAATTAGCAGAGAACCCAACGACTACCCAACCAGATTTCCAATTCTTTTTTTTTTCCTTGGAGCAGGCTAATTACTACCTCTTCCCCTGCAGCCCACAGCCAAGATTTACCTTTGGTGCATCCCACACAACAGTTTAATCCCCTGGGATGGGCATCCTCATTTTACAGACCACCCCCCTGTGCTTTCCCATCACTGGTGAAATCCCACCTCCCAGCAACTCCAAGGCCATGAGAGCAGGGAATGCCCAGCTTACAGGAGATAAGAATCATCTCATGGACTGAGGGATGAGACATCCCAAGAAGCCATTCCTGCTGTGTGGTGGCATGGGCAGGAGAGGACCAAGAGGGACACAGGGTTCTGCCTCTCAGTCTGGACAAGATGACATCACTGTGACTGATGTCACACTCATGGAAGCCACCACTTGAACAGCAGAAGCTGACAGACCAACCAAAAATGTTTCCCTCCTTATATCCCACTGTCTGATTCCCAAACCCATGAAGAGGGCCACATGCCTGACACCAGGTCTTCCTCCCAGTCACTGGAGTGTCCCAAACACCCTCCAGTGCAGCTTCCCCGCAGCTCTAGGTCAGTCCTGGTTCCCCAGCTCACTCTGACCTCACTGCTAACCCACATCATCCTTCCCACTCCACAGGTCCCTCCTCTGCTCCCTCCAGCCTGGTCAGGTAAGGATGTCCTGCCTTCTACTCATGTTATCCCACAGGAGGGTGGAAATGGCTAAGGGTGACAATGCAGCGTCTGTGGTCTTGGTAACAATTCTCTGGCCTGAGAGCAGGATCCTGGGACAAGGAGAGGGTTGGGCTGACAGCCAGGGGAGCCGGTGTGAGGGACCAAGATTTGGGCACAGCTGAGAAGAGACCCCAGTGATGTGGGGACAAGGGACTGGGGCAGCAGCTTGGAGAGACCGTGGCAAAGAGATGCTGCACCAGCAAATGACTGGAAATTGAGGTTTGCCATAAGCCCAGGGCACAGTTGGAAGGCTGCAGTCAGGCATGCAAATAGGCTGGGGGAGCTGGGGGTGTTCAGCCTGGAGAAGAGAAGGGTCAAGGGAGACCTGAGAGCCCCTTCTAGTGCCTAAAGAGACTCCAGGAGAGCTGAAGAGGGACTGGGGACAAGGGATGGAGGGACAGGACAAGAGAGAATGGCTTCCCACTGCCAGAGGGCAGGGTTAGATGGGATATTGGGAAGGAATTCTTCCCTGTGAGGGTGATGAGGCCCTGGTACAGGTTTCCCAGAGAAGCTGTGGCTGCCCCATCCCTGGAAGTATTCAAGGCCAGGCTGGAAGGGGATTGGAGCAACCTGGGATAGTGGAAGGTGTCCCTGCCCATGGCAGAGGCTGGAATGAGATGGTCTTTAACATCCCTTCCAGCCCAAACCATTCTGTGGTTCTATGGTGCCACATTAAACAGTGGACCCTCCACCCTAGGCATAAGTGAGGGGATGAGGCCTGTGCTGACACCACGGAACAGAAACTTTCCATTCCCTCTGGACCCCAGTTTCTAACGGAGGAGAAAAAGTGCCCACACCAAAACTGATGAGCTCAGCCAAGGGTGGAGGAAGGTATGGAGGTTCCAAAGAGCCCACCTCAGAGCCAGGTCAGGTGTGACAGGGCCTGATTCCTTGGCTGGCACCCACACCGTGCTCCCACAGACCCTTGGCATTTCCCATTACCCAGCACAACACTGATCTTGGACAGTACTGACAGCTGGGGTGGGAAGGGATGGAAAAAAAGAAACTAAAAAAAAAAAACAAAGCAGCCCTTAGTCTTAAGATGTAAAACACTGGTTGCAACTCAGACCCTTGAAGTTCAGCTGCTGCAGAGGGACGATCGGTGTCCGAGCGTCGCAGACACTTGCTCTAACACTCCTTAGCTGCTTGCTGGAGCCACTTACAAAGCCCAGAGCAGCCAGGGGGATGTGTCCTCACCTTATTCCTTTCTCCTCTTGCCAGGCCACAGCTGCCAGACTGCACCTACGAGAACTTCGACCGCAGGCTCGGCGGGAGCCAGACCCTGCCAGGGGGGAGAGCAGCGCCCAGGCGCAGCTGAGGAGATCCCACCCCCACCTGCTCCCTTGCACAGGTGTCCTCTCTGCCAAAAACCCATCTTGGCTGATGCACAGAAAGTCAGACGGTGGTGGGGGTGTTGGAACTGGGTGATCTTTAAGGTCCCTTCCAACCCAAACCACTCTATATGCTATGACTTCCAGCCCTGCTGCTGCTCACAAGCAAGAGCAGCCCTTAAAGGGAAAAGAGGAGAAATATAAAAGAAAAAGGGATGGAGCTGGAAGAGCAGAAGAGGATCTGCACAGGATGTCAGTTTTGGCCAATCTGTGTGGTTTTAGCCCATATCCTATTTAGCAAGCAGGTAACAGTATACAAATCTTCTCACATCTTTTTGCTTTGGCAGTTTTTCAAATATCATCTCACGACTCCGCTGGTCCAACCACACGCAGCCTGCAAGTGAGCTGCTGTCATGTTTCAAACACCAGCTGTGACAGAACACTACTGGAATTTCTGCTGGTGGTCTTGGGGATTTTTTTTTTTTTAATCATTATTATTATTATTCCTTACCTTCCAGAAGAGTTAATTTAAGAGTTTAAAGGAAACCTTAACTTTCAAGAGGAGTCCAAGAAAAAAGAAGAGGTTTTTCCAAAAGCTGGTAGAGCTAAAAGCAGGACATGCAAATTCTAATTAGTCTCTGTTCTAACTCTACCTAGTGCCCAGAGCTTTGTGATAAATACACTGTGAAAATGTTCTAATATAACATATTGCCTTTTTGCCTTTTTTTTTTTTCTTTAGAGCTAAAAAACTTATTTCTAAACAGTTTCCACCTCTGTGTTACATGGAAAAGTTCTGACTTGCAAATGGCTCTGTGCAACCATTCCACTGTAGCAGCTCCAAAACACTTACCCAAATCATCCTGCTCCTGGTTAACAACCACCACTGACAGGCATCCCAAGCTGCCACTGAATCACCATCAGGCCTGTGGTCCTGTCTGCAAGCTCAATCCCAGGCTAGGAATCGTTCTTTTAAAGTTCATGTCTTCATTAATACCTGTGCTGGGAAACTAAGGACACAATTTTGAATGACTGAGCCAGGATAATCAGACAAAAGAAATGCAAGGAAATGTTTGCACTTGTTTTTTTTTAAATCCCAGCCTTAAGTCCCAGCAGTGACAAAGGTTTAATAAAAATAAGAAGGGGTGCAGAGGAAAAGGAAGTTACAGCAGACAGTGTAGTCAGAGACCTGTAAGCTCAGTCTCACAGGTGTCACAGAGAAAAGAAATCTCAGGGATGTTAGTTGGACAAACCAAACTGAATTTATGAGCCCTTATGATTTACAGACCCAGAATAATGAAGAACCCATTCCTACCTGTGTATGGGATTCAGTCTTGGCTCACAGGATTTTTCTCTCAAAAACTACCTCTTCAACTGAAGTAGTTTGAGTCCAAACAGAAGCATCGGACCTTGTGCCCCAAAACCAACTCATTCCCCTGGTCCTCATGGGAGACTCAAACCACCCACTCAAACCAATATAAACTAGAAGGACAAAACACAGCACGGCCCAAGCCAGGAGGTTTCTAGAATTGAACTCCCTTGGCCTAAAAGGCGTGTCCCAGTTCCTGCCCTTCTCCTAAACTGCTCAGTTTATGCACATTCAGGGTTTAGGAGGATTTGGCCACTGCTCTCTATTCCTCCAGGATAAATGATGCCATCTCCCATCACCACAGCCCCTGTGGGATGCTGCACAGTCAGCCTGCAGAGCAAGCACTGCCTGCACATTTCAGGCACCTCGCTGCTCAACTTCTGCTTCTCCACTCCCCTGAGTGAAGTTAATGCCACTTTCAGCTGTTACATCCATTTCTGGTGGGGTGCACCAAGCATCCAACAGGCACACTCGTTATTGAGTCGCTGACACAGCCGTTTCATCTCTTTCCATGCAATCTACAATGTTAAAACCAACATAAAACTCAAGTTTTCCTTCTGAGAGAACCCGGTGGCATTAATGACGTGAACAGGAACGTTGTAGCTTTGGGCATGAGGGGCAGTGGGAGATGCTGGGAATGCCAAAGCCTTTCCAGTGAAACTAGAAGAAACGTGCCCAACTCTGCTGGGCACAATTTGGAAAATAAGGTCCCAGGCTCTGGAGTTCACATTTGCTCAGAGAACTGCCAGTGGATCTGTCAGATCACAAAACTGCCCCCCTGTGTTTGAGGAAAGCAAGGGTTCAGACTTCTGCCATTACCACACTGACCAAGAAGCCAGAAGACTGGTCTGTGGGTGACACGTACAGCAATTATGTGCTACCTGATGTGTATTCTTCCAGCAACTTGAAAACATCACAGTGTCTGTCACAAATAATACTTTATTTATTTATTTTATTTATTTCATTTTTTTGCATGGTCTTTGCAAACATAGCATGTTATAAACACGACATTTGTAAAAACTCCACAGCTGAAACAATTCCTCATTTTGAAAGTGCATCTCAAACACGCATTTCTGACTTTTTCACATTTATATGCAACTGATCAGTAACACTGAATCTCATAAAACCAGTGCTTTTAAGTCTTTGAGGGTGGGGTGGGTGGAAAGCAGACGAATGTATTCCTCCAGACCCGAATTTTCCAAAAGAGTGTTAAAAAACATGCTGCATTTGGTATCTGGTTAATATACAGAGGGATGTACATATGTATATCTATTTATAGGCTCGCAGACAGAGCAAAGAACTCTAAGACCACATTAATATGGCGGTGATCTAATGACCCAGCTGGCATAATTAGCAGAATCTGGCAAGAAGAAAAAGCTGATCTGCTCTGCAGCACCAGAACCACGGCTCGGAGCAACAGTTCAAAGCATCACTACCAGACAGTAGGTAGCACATTTCTATCCCCTAGTGACCAGAACTCATGTGTTAATGTGCAACCGTGTCATAAACACAAAGGCACAATTAATGGAGGGGGACAAAAAGCCATCAGTTCCTTCACAAAGGTGTAGGGACTGGGACTTTAGGACCTTGGGCCACCTCAAACACATCAGTGACAAAAGGGACGTCAAACAAGCCATGGGAAAAATTCACCTCCTGCTTTCCCTAAACAAAAGTGCATCTTATGATCAGACAAGGCAACAAAACCAGCGATCACTCAGCTAAAACTACAGATTTTACAGGCTCGTGGTTCATGCTTTGGCAACAGAATTGTAACAAGTGATCACCAAATTTAACACAACAAAAATACCCCTTCACTGTGTCCTCTAAAAATCTCATCATGTTGTGCCCAGCCAGGCAGAAGAAAATAAACTTAAGTGGTGGGTGGACACTTTGTTAAATCAGTATTTCCTATACAACCAGACTTGAAGAATTAAGGAATCCTATGTAACATGATCATAACTGACTGTTCCCCTCCCAGAAACCAGAGATCCAGAAAATCTGTTTCTGGATTTAAATCCCCTTGAACTTGGCTAGAAGTTACTTGCATTTAACCAAGCAATATATATGCAGACACACTAAAATATTTAGAAAATAGGAAAAACCCCAAAGTTTCTCAGTTCCAATTTTTCTTCATATTTACAGAAGTGGGTGAAGATTGTAGGCATGCCTTTCAACTACAGATTTCTGTGGGATAGCAAAAAGAAATCGAAATTTAAAGAACCATCTTTTCAAACACAGGGATTTCACAAAAATCACTAGACACACACTCAGGTAAGACTCAGAGGTATCCTTGGTTAAGAAAGTCAAACCTCTTTTACACACAATCCCCTAGTAAATTTGAACTGGCCTGAGTGATGACACATCGGAAAATAAAAAAGGCACCACGCAAAAACTTCAGACGCTCCAGGATGAGCTTTGCTAATGATTTGTACACCTGTCCCCAGGTACCCTCCTCTCAGAAGTGCACCACACACAGGAGGATATTCAAGTGCTTTCAGTCAGTCAAAAAAAAAAAAAAAAAAAAAGGCAATTCCACAGGCCTAAAAAAAAAAAACAATCAAACCATTCTGACTTAGTTAAAGTGGAACTCTGAAGGTAAAAGTTATTTGTGCAGCAGGGACAAAAAAAATACTGTTTGTAAACCAGGGCAGTGGGCACTGAGCGGTGGCCCCGCGAGCTCAGCGCCGCTACCGGATGGTGTCCAGGTAATGCACTTCTGGGTACAGGGTGTTGACAAGGAGAGCCAGCAGGTTGTTGCCATCCCGAAGACAATGCTCTGGATGCCTGATGAACACAGAAGCCTGGGAGAGCTGCTCTTGGTACTCCACGTATTGCTTGTTTGACGCCATGGATTCGAGAGTGCTCAGTGCCTGTGGGCGCAAGGGAGGATTCTGTCAGATGAACTCCGGTCCGTAACAAACCAGTTCATGAGCCACCACATGCACAATTCCCCTAGAACATCCTTACCCAGAGTTTTCAGAACAAAACAGCTGTAAAACGCAGCCACATAACAGTGTTTCGAGTCACTTGTATTTTTCAAGGTGTTCTCTACCCCAAGATCAGGACAAAAAATTGTCAAATACTTAGTTCATGAACTCAAAAAATGGCTTCACAGAAATCATGCTGAACTACAAACACACTTAATATTTGCTTCATGCTGTTCTTACGAACATCTTAGCTTTCATAACAGTACCATTTTACCCCTGTTAATAACATTAAATTTCGATATTAACTGTCAAGTTAAAAATTATACATAGAAAAGTCTAGTCTATGTTGGCAGTACTAGCCAAGGCAAATGTTGGATGTATTCCTGAACAAGTTTCATTCTTTTCTTAAGAGAAACAAGTTGTACCAAGCTACTTTGCTTTGGTCTCTGATCAACTCCTTCCTCTTCTCACACGCTTACTGAAAGAACACCATGGTCAGTGCACATGCTAAAGCAGGAATGTTTATTTGTCACGGGGCTTTCAAGCCCTGACCTCTCATAAACAAATGTCGGTGTGAATGCAGCCCAGCTTTATCACTGAAAACCAGTGCAACCACCAGCAGCACTGTTTTTTTTCCTGTTTGTTTTCAATTCCTTCCACCTGCAATGCTCCAAACTTTTCAGAAGTCGAGGTTTACAGGCATAAGTTTCATCTGCTCCTTTTTGAGTGTGTAAGATTAGAAACTGATGCCTTTATATTAATACAGAATACTGTATAAGCGGTTTTGCCTAGGATCACCTCAGCACAGAGCTCAAACACACAGTCCTGCTGCCAAAGTTCAGCAGCAAGGTGAGAGCAGGATTTAGCTAGGAGAAATGCTTGCAGTGGTTCTTATTATTACACTCCAAAAGCTAAAGAAGCATGCACAGAGGGCATGTCAAGCAGCCAGAGATGGGCAGAGCTCACCTGCTGAGCCTTCTGAGACAGCCTGGGCTCCGACCCGGCTTTCAGGCGCACTTGGCTCTCTGCAGGAATCTGCACCAGGAGGAAAGCAGACAAACTGCGGGCAACCACCCGAAACCTGCGTGGGGGAAGCACAGAGAGAGAAGGGGGAGTCAGATCTGCAGGTCTCAACAGCAGGTACACTGGAAGTTCTACACCACAGAGCATCTCTTGCATGAGGAACAAAGTCGAGGCTTTAGATGACCTTTTCCAGTGCATTAGAAAAAAAGAAGTCACTTGAATATCATGGAATCACAGAATGCTTTGGGTTGGAAGGGACATTAAAGCTCATCCAGTTCCACCTGGTGTCATGAGTAGGAACACCTTCCACTAGACCAGGTTGATCCAAGCATATCCAACCTGGCCATGAACACTTCCAGAGATGGGGCATCCAACTTCTCTGGATATACATACAATAGGATATCACACATACTAGAGGATGACATAATGTCACACATATGAAATGGTACATCTATTTCAAGCCTGGCTGAACTCTTGAGGCCACATCTGAAACACTCCTCACTTCAAAGACTGTGAAACATTCTCACCACCCAAATCAAGGGATCGACTGAATGCCACCAAGAATTCACATCGATTTCAACCTTATAAACAAAACCTTATAAACAAAAACTTATGTTTAGGTATTGGTGCTCCACAAGCATTTATGTTTTTTTTTCCTTGGCATTCTCTCCACAGTGAACTCGTTTTTAACACCTAGCAATCAAACTTGGTGTCTCTCTTTGGAAGGCAGAGTGAATAACCAGCAAGCACATGCTTCCTTTGAGCTTCTCTTAACATTTCCAATACCTCAGGGTTAAAACACAAAAGGCAAAGTGTATGTTACTATACAAAATCTTGTCAGGTCAACTGAAAGTCTTCTACAGACCAACTGGAAATATCTTCCTCTAACAAGCAGTCTGCCTACAAGCTTTGCTGAAGGTGGACACTAAGTCAGCATCACAACTGCATTTTCTTTCCTTCTACACCACTAGCTTCACAGAAGTTCATACTCATTTCTTAACCAGATTATCACACTGCCTGTGTTTTTTCTGTGACTGGCCCAAACAACTTTATAGATCTGGGGACAGCTTGGATTCAGAACATCTTCTGACAGTGCACTGGGCAGTCTGGACTCAAAGCAATTTATTTATCACACTCCACCCCTTACCTGGGTGACAGAGGAGACCTCCTGCCCAGTCCAATAGCACCAAGTATTCCAGAAGTCAGTCTCTCTTCAGCCATCAGGCTCTGCCTGCCCTGGATGGACAGCAGTGTCCTGATGACGGATTCGATCAGAACAGCATCATCCTGCTCCATCTGAATCAGGGATAACTGCATGGCCTTGTGCCACCAGAGAAACAGCTTGGCCTCTTCGTTTGCTGAGCTTTAGGTGAGATTTAAAGAATAAAATAAAATAAAATGTTAATTAAAGAGTCAGTTGCACAGACTAAGAAGTCTGTTTCTCTCCCCGCTCGGCCCATGAAGAATTCAGATGGTTAATTAGTGACAGTAATCCTCCTGTATGAGGGTAACACGACTGTACACCCCACCAATTATCACACTGCTGTAACTGCTACTGTTGTGGATTTGAGCCATCAGCTAGCAGGTTTTAAGAGCCTGTAAGAGGACAAAGAACAGCGCTTCCTTTTAAGCTTTACAACTGGAAATAAAGGATGCCACAGTCCTAAGTGGATTTAAACTTTACTAAGACTTGGTGTAAAAGGAATGAAGCCATATCTCTACTCTTTTGTTCTTTTCTTCACTTACCAATAAAACACTTTAGGAAGCACTAGCTGTTGTTTCCACAACAATTTAGACTTTTAATATGATCTTAAAAAAAAAAAGGAAACATTGAATGTTTTTGTTGAGTAAAGCACAAAGTGAAGTTCCCCCTACGATATTTTTAATCTTTCCCCAAACAGTTTGCAGCTTAAGTTAACAATCTCAGACTTTCCACATAAAACATCAGCACGAGTTTCCTGCATCAGACTATCCTCACATTACCCCACCCAGCCATTTCCCATCCCAGGCAATCTCAGATCTGATGTTCAGAACAAGGTTTTATCTGCTCTGTACAGTGGCTTTGATATCTTTCACACTCTGGCAATCAAATTACTACAGCACCTACAACAGTGAAAGAATTTGTTTTGAATTTCAAGAAACAGTGAGAACACAAATTTTTCCAAATCACAGAAAATATGAACATTATCAACATTATTGTGGAAAGATGTTCATCATGTTTGCTAAATCCTGGAAATTTCAGCAGCAGCTCTAAACCCAGTTGTTACATACTTTTGAGGATTTTTATTTCGACCCCAGGGCTATGCATCTTTTCCCCCCAGAACACAGTTATCTTGGAAGCTGTTCTACAGCATTCAGGCCCCTGACTCGAGGCACCCCACCAGAACCACTGTCTCCAGATTTGATTCAGAGCTGCTGAACAGGCCCCATGGAGCAGCTTTGAACCCCAGGTCTCCCAGAGTGCCAGACTGAATATTTAGCACGTAACTCATCCCACCTAGTGGACATGCTGCAAAGCGGAAGCCTGAGTGCTCTAGGGTTTGCTTCGAGTCATTTTAACTGAGCACAAACCATGTCACTGAAATCGAGCCTCTCTGACTGAAAAAATGAGTGAAACTCACTAGTTTAAGTTTTAAATAAATTCCTTCTTCTGTTTAACCATCACAACTATTAGTGTTGGTGCTGCAGATGGACAAACTCGTAATTAGTGGACATAAAAGGACAGGCCATTCCATCTAGCAGCCTCTTGAAATTCCCCTAAATAACTGGGACACCTAATTATCCCAGCTCTGCAACTACAAATAAACTTGATCTAGAAGTCAAGGCACATTCAGAAGCTCCAAGCTTCGCACCTGGGGTACACCTGCTCCAGCCATTTGCTGATGGTCAGCAGGATCTTCATTTCGTTGGTGAGAGTTTGGTCAGTGTTCAGGCACTGCAGCAGGTAGACATACAGCGTCAGGTAGCTTCCTAAAGAAAGACACTCCTGCAGGAATTCATCCATGGTTAGCTCAGGAACTTGGAGGGAGGCAAGTACAGGGCCCCAGCTTAAATCCTGGTTGTGAGGAGAATCTATGAAGAAAACAGAAGGAAAGAACAAAAAGAGAGTGTGAGAAAGCAGCACGTAGTAAAACCTAAGAACTAGGACTACTGTTTACAGAATCTGGGCTGGTTTTAGCTGTTTTCCAGGTAATCAGCATGTCATGAAACTCTGATGGAGAGAAAAGAAAAACTCCACTATCAAAGGGCACCTCCTTGAGGTTAAGGTGAGATACTTTCCCAGCATTCAGACAGGACTAGAATTTGAACATTTTAGCAAGGAATTAGAAGTATTTCCTTCAGGTACATTAAAATCTTCCACACAAAAAGCGGAAGAAATAAAAATGTAGTTCCACAAGGATTATGTAAACTGAAGGGGGGGGGGGTAACAAAAAAAAAAACCACCCCCACTACAAAATTTCAGATTTTTACCAAACAGGATTTTTTTTTTTAAATTAGCCTACAGAACACTACAGGATGGCACAAATGTCTTTTGTTCTCTGGCAATAGTTCCTTTTTTAAGAATTCCTCTCCTTTAGCTGTAAAAATGGCAACACTCCACAAATAAAATCAGATTTCAGAGAGACAGGCATAATTCTTAAGAAAACACATAGTTAGAGTAGTTGTAAACCCCAAATCTCAATCACAAAATCACAGAATGGTTTGGGTTGGAAGGGGCATTAAAGACCATCTTGTCCCACTTCTCTGCCATGGGAAGGGACACCTTCCACTAGCCCAGGTTGCTCCAAGCCCTGTCCAGCCTGGCCTTGGACACATCCAGGGATGGAGCACCCACAGCTTCTCTGGGCAACCTGTGCCAGGGCCTCCCCACCCTCACAGGGAAGAATTCCTTCCCAACATCCCATCTAACCCTCCCCTGTGTCAGTGGGAAGTGTGTCACTCCCCCTCATCCCTATCCACGGCACAGGGGCTGGAAGGGGACAATCTTTAAGGTCCCTTCCAACCCAAACCAACGGCACCCAAGAGTGGCCCAGGCCCCTGGGACAAGCAGAGGAGGTCCCTACCCTGGCTGAAGTAGGCGGTGATACAGGCCTCGGTGGTCTCTGCCATGTGCCGCACCGAGGCCAGGCTCTGGCAGGCCGCTGTGAGCAAGGGCATGGCCAGCAGCCCGTGCACTTTGCTCTCTATCCACCTCCGCAGGGTCCCCCGGAGAGACTCGGCCGTGGTGATGCTGGAGTTGTTCAGCATCATCAGCGTTTCCGTGAAGAGGCTGCTGAGGGCCAGGTGGCGCGGCTGCAGGTCCGTGTCTGGAGGCCAGAGAGCACAGAACCACGTCAGTAAATCGGCACTGGAGCCCAAATCCAGCTTCACCACTGGACACTTTCTGTGGTCACTGGGAAAAACCCTCTGGCTCGTGACACACACCCCTACTCCTTGTCCATGCTTGCCAGCACACCCGTGTCTCTTCCTGCCCGTGACCCACACAGCTGCTGGCAAGCATTTCTGTGGAGTGAAGTGGGACAACTGATCCCACCTGAAGTTACAGCTTCACAGAGGAACCTCAGGATGGGACTAGTACTGACAATAAGATCAGTATAAATCCTCTGTGTGTGGACACACCACAGCACTACTGCACACCAGTGTAACTCTCATACTCTCAGGTTTTCCCAGTTTTACGATTTAGAACGATTTCTGAGAACCCAGTCATAGAATGATGGAATGTTAAGGGTTGGAAGGGACCTTAAACTTCATCTACTCCCAAACACCCTATAAGGGGGAAAGAAACCATCCACTAGACCAGGTTGCTCACAGCAACATGGCCTCGAATACTGACAGGGTTGGAGCACCCAAAACCAACCTGGGCAACCTATTCCAGTAGCTCACCACCCTAAAAGGAAGAATTTCTTCCCAATCTGGCCTAAATTTCCTCTCTTTCAGTTTGTACCCATTACTCCTAATCCCTCAGGACCAATAGAATGTATTTCTGCCATTCTTCCTTTCAAAATAGATGTAAATGACCAGAAAAATAAAAATTTTTTAAAAAAATTAAATTACATTAAGCTAAAAAATAAAAGACAGCAAAGAAAATCCCTCAAGCCTCCTGGATATCAGCCTGTTTCACTCACAGCATAACCCCTGTTTTAAATGGTGGTTGTGTCACTCTTGACAGCTCTACGGGGTAGTTCATATTTTTTGCTGTGTGCTAATATACCACCTCCATATACAACATGACCAAAGCAACATCCCTGTAAGAGAGACATTGCAGTAATGCAAGTAATTACAACGTCACAGACGTTCATCAAGCCATGCGGCAGAGTAAACAATCTTGGCAGCCTTGGAGCAACTTGCCATTTCTACAACACAAACCTGGGGGATTAAAGACGACTACATCATCCAGCAGCTTGGCCATTTCTTGCTCCAAAACTGCAAGGGTAATCTTCCCACTCTGCTCCAAGGTGCTGAGGAACTGAACCACCTGGCGAATGTACGCTCGGCACTTCAGCGTCGCGTCCTGTTCAGCAACATCGAAGTTATTGAAAAGCAATTAGAAAAGCAAAAAAATCATACCTGGAACACTCTCCACAACACACACAACCAGAACGTTGCAAGGAACAGCCAAGGACAGGTCAGAGGCACTGCAAGACCAGTTCAACTCACGAGGTGGATGTGACTATCCGAAGACGTCCCAAAGCCTGCTGAGACCTTCAGGAGCTTCACGATCAGTTCAGCTGCAGCATCCTTAGCAAGGATAACAGAGGGAGGGTAGTGACTGTTGAAGTAGTTGATGATGCTTTGATAAGATGAAATGCCCACAAGCTGCCAAGGAAGGGAGCTGGTTTGCCCAAGAAGATTTATGAGTGGCGACTCCTGAAGATTTAAAGACATCGGTCTAAGCTACACCTTCTCTGCAGTTTTAAATTAATATTCACAGTACTCAATATTGGAAGGAAGCCCCTGCTCCAGAATTTGAAAGAGATGGAGCAGAACCCCCACTGCTGTCTATCCCCCACAGGGATAGATGACCAGGGGGAGTCTGATTGAAAAGCAGTAAGCTAACACATGCATATCATCTCTAGCACTCATTGAACAGTATTCAGGGAGAAACACTAAAATTTAACATATAAACATTTAAAGGCAGCTAGAAAGAATGAAGACCCTGCAAGTTAAAGTCAATTCTGTACAGATTTAAAAGAAGCATTAAAATATTATTTAAAAAACCAGGTTGGTCTAAGTTCAACGTAGAAATGGGGTCCCCTAACTTTCCATTCAACAAGCCGTCTACCAACCTGATCAGGGGACTCCCCAAGTGCTTATTCTCACAAATAACACCCTGAGTAGCACAGCAGCCTTCGGTGCCCCCAGCTCACACAGGCAGCGCAAGTCTGCAGATGGAAAAGTCTCTCTGTCCACAAGCAGCTATTGCCTGTTCTCAAACACCTGCAGTAAAAAAGGGTCCTTGTGCACACTGAGAAACACTGAATGGCATGGAGCTGTGTCAGGGACGGTTCAGGTTGGGTGTCAGGAAAAGGTTCTCCCCCCAGAGGCTGGTTGGGCACTGAACAGGCTCCCCAGGACAGTGGTCACAGCTCCAAGGGTGACAGAGCTCAAGGAGTGTTTGGACAACGCTCTCAGGGACAGAGTGGGATTTTTGGCGTGTCCTGGGCAGGGCCAGGAGTTGGACTCAATGATCCAAACGGGTCCCTTCCAACTCAGGATATTCTACACTCTACCCTATGATTCTATGATTCTACAGGTTTTAGAATGAACAAATACTGGAATTGCACTGACAACTCAGAACTAACCCAAATTAAACTACTTCATCGAGGACGTGACACTGGTACAGCAAGTACTTCTCAAGCTGCTCCTGCCCTGGAACACAGGGCTGAGAAAGTCTGAGATTTAGGTCAAGGTGTCACAGGAGCTTTCTGGGGGGCAAAAACCTCCTGACAGTGTATCAGTATAACACACTGCTGGAGGGTAGGAGGGAATTCCTGAGGCTGACTCATACCATGTGCAAACAGGTATCTTCTGAAGCTTGAGAAGCTTCTGATAAGCAAATACATTCAGGTCAAAGCACATGAACTCTGGTAATTTTCCTAAACTGAAACACAGTGATGGTCAAAGGCTGCTGGTGACATTTTGTTGCAGCATCTCTCAGTGCCTCAGAGGAAAAGGAAGACAGAAGATGTTGGAAGTGGGAGCAAACTGACAGATGTGAAATGGGACTTCCTGCAGACAATCCAGCCCCTCTGGAAGAGCTCTCCAGAAGCAATGGACTGAATGAGACTGTGCTAGATTTACCCACAAAGAGCTCTTAGCAAGGGTAGGATTTGGAAAGTACAACCTAATACGCACTGATTCTCTATCCTATTACAATTCAGAAAAATACTGGAATGCAGCTGTAAATGGGAAAGGCACTGAGAAATCAGAGATGATCCAATCCCCCTGGGGAGCAAGGGAACCAGAAAACTCATCCTAACATTCAACAGATGAAGTAATCTGTCCCCCAGCAACTCATCAGATGCAGACAGTGCCAAGCTTTTTAAAGACATATCTGGTCTTCAAGGTGCTTTTACATCATTGTGACTTGTCATCACATCACATGGAGCATTTTATGGTAAGAAACAACTGTTTGCAAGAGCAGTTCTGAGTAAGGGCTGAACAGCTCTCACTCTTGAGAGTTCACCCACATGTTCAGACAGACACATATTTCCCTTTCAGAAAGCTACAAAAAGAACTACACTGGGATCAAGAGCTTCTCCAAACCTCACAGGGACTAATTCCACTGCTGAGCTGTGCTCAACCCACCTCAAGTGCCACCAGTACTGAAGATCAGGTTGGAAGACATCAGGAACACGCACAGTAAGACTCATAAGACTCATAAGACTCATCCAGCCATAAGCTTTCCATGAGCGGGTCATTCCTTACCATCCCTCCACACAGTCATGTTTGCCACGCAGAAAAAGGAGCAAGGCACACATGAGGTTTACACGAACGGCCTCGACAGAATAAATGTGACTCAGTGAGCCCCCCAAAGGTGATCCAGGCACAGTGAGAGCTGCTCCTACACTCTTTTCGCTCAGGCTGTCAGAAGCTTCCCCTTAAGGTATATGTCATATTGCCCTAATGAAATTAACATATTTCTTCCTTCCAAAAGCCAGACTGCCATTTAATAACTCCAGGGAAACTGCTTACTCCTTCCAGCACTAATGGATTACAGCACCAAAGAAGCTTCTTAAAATGAACAGCAGCTCTTCTTTTTTTTCACAGAAGTTACACAAAATGCCTGAGCTATGGAATTACTCTTGGCCACCTCTGGAATACTATTTTGGGTATTTTACACGTGCAAAAACCACTTCAGAGTTACTCGTTCTGCCAAGTGAGAAAGAAGTGCCATCCTGTGTCATTTCTAGTAAAGGATTATTTTCCTTTTAAGACAGATGGGTATAACCATTTCCAAAAATTACCTCTTCACCAATAAGTTTTTCCTCCTTTGCCAACAGGACCATCATGTACAGCAAACAGACAATCATGCTGTGAGTCTGAGGGTGAGGGTTGGGATTCCAGGCATCAGAAAGGACACTGACCCAGTTTAATTCACACAAAACATAACCCAAGAATAAGAAACAACTCTTGGGGCTGCCCCTTTCGATCTAGGAAGGAGAAAGAAAAAAAGATGCATAAAATGACGTCAGTTATTAATACTTGCACATTTTTCAGTTCCTCAGTCAACTCCAGCAGCATTTTAGGTCAGCTTTGTGTTGTCTCAGACAACTTGGAACTGAAAGAACCATGGCAATAGTAAAAATATATTAAATCTGACTAAATATATATTAAATATGTATGTAATAAGTGAGACATTCAGATAGAGCAACAGCAGATTACAAACACTGGCAGCTTTACAGCTTCCCACAATTTTGTCTAAGACACAAATACAGCTCTTCACAAAAACCCACCATGAAACAAGGAGCTGTGAATGCCACAAACAAACTTTGAAAGCCCATTTGCTAAAAGAACTGTCTCCGACTCTCCAGGTATTTTCAAGGGCAACACTGACTACGAACTTAATTCAGCAGATGCCATGTACTCACTTTGAAGAACTCTTCCATCAGCATCTGGTCTGGATGCATTTCCTTCCATGGGAGCCTTTTGAACTCAGTGTGGAAGGCATAGAGAATAAACTCTGGCATTCTGGGGCCTGTGCAACACTCACAGTAATGTATGAGATGTAACCAGAGAGCCCCATGATGGCTTGGCAACAGCTTTTCTAGAACCAAAGAAAACAGCTGAATTAACAACAGAAAAAAAATTCAGGGAAAGCTGGATTTCAAAAGAAAGTCTAATTTTGGAGATAAAAAACGTGTAAGTTACACTAAACTACAATTATTAAAAAAAAAAAATTAAACTTTTAGGGTTTTTTTCTCAAAATCAACAAGTGGGGGGGGTTGATGATTCCATGCCCTGACTTGCCCTTTTGAACAACTGCTGGACAATAATTTGAAGTTATAAAATAGTCTTGCAATGTAGACCCTAACTACTTTTATGATGGACCGTTTTGCTTTTTTTCAAAGAAGATCTTATGCATCTCGAATATTATAAAAACACGATTATCCTGTAAAAATAACACATAAATCTGAATCTAGTTCACCCCTGAAAGTTGCAAAGGGATATTGAGAAATTAATCTTTCCTATGCCTAAGTACACACCAGGCACAACAAGCAGTGCTAAACAGGAGCTCAAAATGATCAATCCTGAAGATTAAGTTACTCCCCAAACTGGCTATTGAAGAACACGTACTGGTCACGGTGACATGATACTGCACATGTTGCTTGGGAACAACATACAGACCTGGAAAGAATTCATGCACTTCTCACGACAGCTCATTCTGTTTGGGCTTTCCTTCACATCAAATTTGTTATCTGACCAACATGCACTTATCAACCACGTTATCGACCCTGGCCAAGGAGAAAAGCTGCCTCTTCAGGATGGAACAAGTGTGTGCTCCTGATGCGACTGCAGAGGCCATCCTGAGTAAAACCCCCTCCCGTCCCACATCTCAATCAAAAACCTTTTTTTTTTGCTCTGGTAGAACAGAAAGTGCCCCTCCACTAGGAGTGCGTGGCTTTCACCCACCTTTAAAGCTCTCGTGCAAAAGCTTGATGCAATCTGTAAACAAAGAGACCACGGTGGAGGCTACAGGGGTGTCACTCTCCAGCCAAGGGTAGCAGGGCTGGTTACTGAAAAGAAGCAGCAACACAAATTTCAGTGCCTTGATCATGAACATTTCAGCAATTTAAATATTCTAAAGCACAGTAAGTCAGTATAGCACAAGCATCAGCAGTCTTCTCAAACTCAGTTCTTTAGGACTGTCTCCTTCTTCCTTAGAAGAGATGCATATTTCAATATCCCAGTGAAGAGTCACAATAACACTGAGTAAACAGAAACAACTTGTTTGATATTTCAAAATGGAATTAAAAACCAAAACACTGGAATTTCTCCATGACATTACACACCATGTGCGGTCAACCTTCCAATATAAGTGCTGAACGCGCACTCACAAATCAAAAAGGTTTTAGTTTTGAAAGAAAGCAAAATTTAAATATATAACGGTACAAATAACTGTTCATGTGAAGACAGAGGTACACAAGGCAGCAGATCATCATAGCACTGATTTAGCCTGAAGTTTCTTTACATATCGCTGACATTTGGGGCTGTATTTGGCTTTTTTTTTTCTGTTTTATTTTAGACTGAGGTATTATAGACACTGTGGAAGCTAAGAAAGGAATCCAAAATTCAAGCTTCAGTGTTTTCAGAACTGAATGCAATACTTACTTGGTTATCATCAAGCTCTGGTCGTATTATTATTACAAGATATTCTGTTTAATAATAATTACTGAGATAATTATTCAATCCAAACCTTGGAATATCTGATGTAAATCATGAATTAGTTCCATAATTATTACGGATATGAGACAAGTAAGAGCTATTTAAATGGAAGGTCATAAGACAGTCATGAATTATTAAAAAACAGGTAATAATGAAAGCCATTCTTACAGGGTTAATGTCCTTACTTTAGCAAAAATTCATTTAATTTTAAAATGCAATACATACCTTGCATCTTCCTTTTCCAAGACCAGTATCCATGGTTTAAAGAGTCCAGAAATAATTGAATACAAAGACTGCAGGACTAGAAGGAAACAAAACAAAAGTTGCTTTTTTTTCTTCAAATCAACAACAGTGGATATATTACACCTTTCCAAATTTGCATACCATGTCCTTTGTTTATTCTAACATTCATAGAATCACAGAATAATTAAGGTTGGAAAAGACCTCCAAGATCAATGAGTCCAAACACTTCAATCAGTTTGTTTGGTCAAATAAAAATTTAAAACACAAGAGGCTTATTAGTAACTCTGGTTAACAACATGGTTGTTTTAACAAGAGTCATAAGCATTTTGCATATTTTAGGTGTTCTATTAGTATCACTTTAATAGCACAGCAGAGAATGTGGAGGTAAGGATGATTCACACTTTAAACCTGCATGTATAAAAATAAAATGTGTTTAGGTGATTTTTCTCCAAATCAAAATCACACCAAATTCAGCAGTGTCACCCTCCAAAACCTCTGCTCGGTGCAAAAGACTGTATTTTTCTTGAAGAAAGTAAAATCTCTTCATAAAATTATTTTAAAGCAAGCTCAAATTAAAAAAAGCTTTCTCCACAATTATGAAGCATAAAGTCCAAATGGCCAGGGAGTATCATCAGAATTTCCCATCACTGCACAAAGGCAAAACAAAAGGTTTTACTGTGTATTTAAATTGCCTTTAACAAAGGAAATTAGAAAAACTGAGTGTCTGTTTTTAAGGAATTCGCTTTTAAAGACACGTTTACCTGCTAGAACTGTGCTACTGCCCACAGGTTCTTGGGATAAATTAGCAACTTCACTGTCAATAAGTCGTTTAACAAGATACTCCATGAATACATTCACTTCAGCCACGTAAGGACTCCACTTTGAAAACAGGCCAAAAGTCATGAAGTCCACTGAAGCCAGTCGGAGTTTGCAGAAGGATGTGGAAAGCCATTCTATCGTCTCTCTGACCTGTAAAAGGCAGGAATCTATTAATCAGCTACAGAAAGGCTGCACAGCGTGTTATTTGTCACTGGAGGGCATCTGTTTCAGCTGAAAAACATAATAAGTCAACCACCCACCTGTTCTGGGGACAGGAGAGTTTTTGCAGCATCCCTCAATGCAGGAGTTTCAGCAGAATCACTCTTCCTGAAGCTTCCCTGCTCAGCCACTGGTGAATCACACCCCAAAGCTTGAAGTGATGCCTTCCAACAGTCAGGGCTTAGGAGCTGCTCTGATGAGCCTTAGGAAAAAGACAAGGGAATGCATTTGTGAAAACCAGAAAGACACTGGTCCCTTTCTCCAGTAGTCAAAAAAAAAAAGGTTGAAATCAGAGCTCCCAACTACCAAAAAAACCAATAAGGTAAGGCATGAATTTGAAAATCCCAAGTTTAAGGGTGAGAGATGTCTCTAATTTGCAAACACAATTCATTTGACATTTCTTTTTGTCATCTACACGCTCTCTTCTTAAGAGTGTTTCCCAGGCACTTCATACATCTCTGGCTACAAATACTCATTAAGAGGCAGCTGCTGCCCCAGCACATGTGGTTTGACAGAAGGAAGTACTTGTGTTCTCACTGGAGAGGCACATCAGATTACAGGTGGCATCTAAACATCAACCAAATGATCAACCAGCAGATTTCAGTATTAGTTCCATGCCTCCATAATTCCAGTTTCTTTTAGTAGAGCTACACTACGTCTAATAAAATCACAGCACGCACACAAAAGTACATACAGAAAATTTAAAAAGTTTAAATCATTCTGTGTTCGTTGCTATTTGACTCTGCTGCATGCAGTTCACATTTTAAACCAGAAGGGTTCTGCACAAAAGGCTTTGTGTGCACCAACTCGGGTACTCACTTTGCACGAACAGCCTTAGGAAATCACTGTAGTGGTCAGGGAACTGATACTGGAGGAGGTTAGTCCAGTGCTTGCAGAAGATATTAAATGGCATCAAAATGTCCTCTTCAGGTTCCAGGCCACATGCATTGAGAGCCAAATGAAGGGACTCCAGAAGCTTGGTACGCTCAGCGAGAGGTGGCTTAGCCAGGCTTAACCACTGCACGAGGTCGAACTGGATAGAAGAGAGGACAGAAAGCATCTGTAAGCAGAAGCTTTAACAGGCTCAACACCTTTAGGAGAAGGGAGAAATTGTCAGGGAAATTAAATCCCTACGGTTTTATATATTTGAGAAAATCCTAATGAATTTGCACCTCATTATCCCTAACTCCAAACCAAGGCGACGCTCTCCAAAGGTTATGATTTAGCATATCGCAGAAGTCCCTGTCTTTCTGAAACAGCCCTTGGCAGGGGTTCTCAGATTCATGAAGATGTGCCCGAATTTCCACACTTCACTACCACTGCCAATCACAAGCATTAAACTGGGCTGATCTCCACAGTCCATAAATTTTCAGGTGGAGGTGAAAAGCTTTCGTAGCCCCTTCACCATCTGTTCAGACTCTGGTGAGCAGGGACAGCACTGATCACTCCCTGCTACAGATATCCCAAAACAGGCTGCCTGCTGCTCCCAGCTGTCGAGCCCTGTCTTTGTGTAACTAATGCAGAGAGAATCAGACTGATATCAAAGCCCAAGTGTAACACTAATTTCCCCACTGACCATGGAGGCAGGCAGTATCCCACCGAGAGGAGAGATGTGCATGTCACTTGCTCTGACCTAACTCTGTATGTTTTAAGACAGGCAGGAAGGACATGGGTGCCAATCAGAGGCGGGAAACTCAGACACTGTTCCAAATTTTGTTTTGTTTTGATTGTTTAGATACCTGGGATCCACCGGCTATCTGAATGAATGTCTCTGCAGAGAGATCAGGCAGAAGAAGCCATGGAGAGCCTGCTTTAATTTCAAGAGTAAGCCCTGAGAAGTACATATTGAAACTATCTGGGCTAGAAAAGGATATTTAAGCCACTTGCTTTTGAGTCCAGCCCCTCTTGAGCTTAAATGCAACACATACCATTCAGGATGCGCAACTCAGCTCTACAGAACCTGTCAGTGCTATTTCAAATTACCAGATTTTGCACCTCTTTGTCCCTTAGCCTAAAAACACACCCACAAACCAGACCTCACCTTTGTCAGCAGCATGAAGACAACATCACTGTTATCCTCGCTCAGAAAGGCCACGACTTTTTCATACAAAGCCACGAATTCACTGGGAGAGGCAACGGGAGTAAAGTAAGGAGAAAGGAGGGTACAGAGCCTTCGGTTCTGCAGGATGGTCTGGAGCAGACGTCTGCACTCTGACTTGGTCCCACTGATGAACACCTGAGAAAATTGGGAGTGGTGAGAAAAATAGCCCAGTATGAATCGACTTAAAAATGCACCTATCAAGAATTTTTGGTCGAGACAAGCATAATTTTGGTCCTTCTATAAAAAGGACCTAACTAAATAAATAAATAATAAATACTGTTACTCCACAAGACATAATGAGAAATAAACATGTTTCCCTAGTATATTTTACACATGTTGTCTAAAAACACCTAGAAGTACTATTTTTCTGAGGGGACAGCAAAAGAAAATGAATCCAGATTTCACCAGTCCTGCCCGATAACAAGAAAAATTTAGCAGAACTACAGCTCTGAAGAGCTTTTCAGCCCTTCAGTTGTTAGAGGTGCTTAAGGACAGATGCATATAGAAACAAACTGTATCTAAGAGATGAAAACACCTATCTGGACCTAAAGCTGTTTCTCAGAGAATCCATCTAGTATGTTCCCCACAGAGACAACATTACCACCAACCAAAAGCACTTTTCTTCTCTACCAGAAAACTTCTGGCAAATTCTCTGCACAAAGAACACTGCAAGGCTGTAGAACAAAGGTGTCTAAATACTGAAGTTGACAAGATATACATCAACTAGAAAGCGACAGGTAAAAGCAAAGTATATGCTGAAACACACTTTTGTGAACTGAAAGTATCCAGACTTCAGTTACCTGCCCAAAATTCCAGCACTTAACTAACACAGTGAGCATTTATTAGCACTGAGGAGGTGCCTCAGAACAAGAATATTTTATTTTTGCTTAAATGCAAGCTTCAACTCTCCTAAAGACTGTATATTATAGCAGTTAGTTGAAAGGAAAATGGGACACAAGCTCAGAAGCTAACTTTCAGGCTTCTGAATGTGTCAGACCCCAAATATCAGCAGGCAACTGGAATAAGAATTAGGCATTCAAAAGTCAAATTTTATTCCAAAAATAAACTCACTTGGCCCAGGATCTCAATGCAGGATGTGAAGAACTGCCTTGTGGGAGGGTTGCGTTGAGTTTCATCACACACATATTCCACCAACATAAAAAACAAACTAATCCCAACTTCCTTAATTGCAGGCATGGGCTGCACCTTGTAGATATTTATTAAGGCCCTAAAAGAAATTAAAGTCAAAAGTCAAATTAAATTTACGTGTGGAGAATAACCTGTGACAATAAAGAAAGGTTTCTTGCAAATACGAGGACTTGAGATGGGTATTTCTGATGCTCCCTGACCTCAAGTAATTTTGCTGCCTGAAATTGGTACCTCCAAACCTTAGAAAGTCTCCATAATCGGAGTCAGAAAGTGATCACTGAAAGATTTTCATGGCATAGTTTCAATGGATTATTTCTTCCTCTAATCAAGTGTTCATCACTTTCTTAAGGCATCTCAGCTACACTTGTACTGCAAGAAAAATGATCTCTTTCACTTCACAGGCTCGACAATAAAAGAATTAAAACAGAATCTTTTCTTATGCCTTGCCGAGTATGTGTTTTGTGGAGATCAAACCCCCATCTTCACTGAGCCTGAATCAAAGCATCTGAAGGATGTGCAATTCCACAGACTTTAAATCCCAAGAACTAGATCATCCACAGAATTTTTCAGATTAGCGGTCAAGAATGAACATGTAGAAATATTCAGCAAGTATTTTCACTTGTAGAAGGAGTGCACTCAGCAGTAAACCATCTACACTACGAGAATCCCAGTAGAAATCTGGAAGATTGAGAAGAATGAAGCTGCAAAACCAGACCTCTGGGATGAAGTCTAAAACGTCTTCAAGAGGAAGAGGGCCTTGGAGCACCCCACTTATTCACATCCCCCAGAAAAGTGGTGTTATATAGTCCTCTTCCACTGCACAATTTTGTTTCACATACTGAAAAACTACTTCAAATCATAATTCTCTATTGAAGAGCTATGTCCTGCACTATAACAGGGAAAAACCCACAGAGAGAAATATTAAAATCATACCGTTTTGCCTATGGCTAAGACAGCTTGTAGTACAAGTCTGCCACTCCCTGAAGTTTAGCACAGCATCCCTGGCATCACCCAGTGTGCTTTTGCAGAGAGAGCTTTTAGGAGAGCACACCCAGTGTGCTTTAAGGAGAGCTATTCTAATATACAGAACAATAACCAGAAGTAGAAAGCACTGCTGTGTGCCTACTGAGGCTGAATGACCTCGACAGAGTTATTCCTTTAGAGGCCTGTGTCACAAACACACAGGTCCCAGGATTCCTGCTCTGTTGTTGACCCAAGCTGATGATAAGCACAATAAAAAAAAAACCAAAAAAACCAAAAAAACAGCACAAACAGGTTCCACATTTTAACTCTTAACATACAGGAGGAGAAATACAAAACATCACCACCTAAAGCAGTGTCTGAACAACCTACGTTATAAAATTCTCCACGTGCACTGCTGCTTCCACAACGCCCAGGGAAGGTGGCTTCGTAGCTTCTGCCTGCAGCTGTCTCACTTCTTTGTACAGAGCATGAAGCTGCTGGCTCACTGCTTCATTTTTGTGCTTCCCTTCAAACTAAATGACAAAAGAAAAAAAAAAAGACATGTATTCACCTCAGAATTCGTTTTGTTTTTTTTTTTTTGCTAAAACTCCTCCGTGTTGCACCTATTTGTAAAAACGAAGCGGAATCCAGTAAGAGGACTCTGCATACAGATGGTTCTCCCCCGCTGAGAGCTTTGATCAGATTTAGTACACCGTGCCCAAGCGCACATCCTCGGTCATGTTCCTACTTAATTATCACACACACTAATATAATTCATGTCTTTTATGTAAGGCTTTTAATCCACCGGGACTGAAACTTAGAGGGGATCAAGAAATTAATTTGCCAAGCAACATGGGAGTATTTCTATAAACATTTTCATCCCTCTGTTCCTATCAGCGAGTATATTCCCATATCCATGCACTGGGAAACCCTTTAGGATGGACGCTACGAGCAAAACAAATTATGCAGCCACCTATCCTTCAGCTGCTGATCTGCTCCTTTCGAGCACTGCATATGAGGTATTTCAGGTAACTATTTTGTGCACAGATTTATTTGGTCAGCTGCTACCGTTCCTGTAACGATTCAGACATTTCACATTCATCCTCTGTGTCCAGCAGCCCCAAGGCAGAAGGGGTGACACGTTTCTGACCTGGATGGTGAGCATAGCTGCTCCCTGACAGCCCTTATTGGAAGTTCCCCGGCACTCCAAGTGGAGGGTGATCTGCTCTTCCCTGTTCACAAACAGCTTAGGCATCGTGTCCAGTAATTCATTATTCAGAGCAACGTGCTGGGATTCCCAGAGAGCTGCAGTTCTGAAAAGCATTTATTAATAAAATTACCAAAATCTGTATCGAAAACGGTAATGCTAAGAACTCATAAGCAAGAGACGAAACCTCAATTTAATGTGCTGTACAAAGGCTCATGACACTCTCCTAGAAAACATAAAAGGTTATTAAATTAAATTGAGTTAAAACTTCAAAGTAATAGCACTTCAAAGTAATAAAAAAAGAGGTTCATAAGAACAAAACTACTCCAGTACGCTTGAGTTCCTTTGAATTATTTTATACGACAACCTGGAAGGAAACTCAACAGAATATCCTCTGTAGAAAATGCAATTTTCCACCAGACCAAAAAAAAAAATATATATATATATGTATAAAGCTGGACTGTGGGATGATTCAGTCAGGGGGAAAAAAACCAAACCCACAGAAAATCGCTGCTGAAATTGTTTCAACACAACCTCTCTTCAGCTTAATAATTTTTTGGTTCATAATATTGTTATTAAGTGACTACACTGCGCAAGAACAGCTACAGATTGATCATTTGTGTTTGAAAATAATTCAGCTGGATGCTCTGATTAGGAATATTAAAAACAGAGAGGTCCAAGGACAGTTTGGATGGGGCTTGGAGCAACCGGGGATAGTGGAAGGTGTCCCTGCCTGTGGCAGGGGCTGGGCCTGGATGAGCCTTAAGGTCTTTTGGCAAACCATTCTGTGATGATGCTCAGACACTGCTGGACACACCAGAGAGGCAGAAGGAACACAGCTGTGACTTACTTGGCGTGTTGCTGCAGCATGTTTAGGTCCGTACGCATGAGCTGAACTGCTTCCTTTTGACTCACTAGACTGGCAGAGGAAATAACTGGCACAGGGGCTTTCATTGTCTGGAGCGGGAGAGGGGGCTTGGGAGTATCAAACTTCTTCAAATTATTCAAGATCCTCTCTTTGGCTACAAAAAGAAAGTAGAATCAAGTTCTGTCAATTAGAAAAGTTCAGGGGAAGCTCAACAAAAGCATTCATTTTTTCGCATGAAACATTTTTAACAGCAGACAAGTATTTCTCAGGATTCCCCCTTTTAAAAAGGAAAAAAAAAAAATCACTCAAGTAATCTTCCCATTTTTCTCAAAGTCTATTTTACACAGCTAATTTTCATTACCAGCTCCTCCATCACAAACATTAGGATCAAAAGCCACACTGCTTTTCTCATTTCCCCCAACCAGTCCTTCCTCATATCACCCCATTTATTCTTCTCATCTGACAGAGGCTTCCAGATCCAGTCTAAGCAAAATTTACCTTCCTTTCCCTACAACTCATCCTCACCTTTTCTCTTGTCAACTCCAGTTCCTCCCCAGAGCACAGCCTCTCCCCAGGTCAGCCTTCTCCTCCTGCTGACCCACTCAGTTTCTTTGTCCAAACCTTGGCAATTCACCTATGAAACTATTCCAGTTTCCTTCTATTCCCTCCCTCCCCTTTTTTAATCAGTCACACAAAAAAATCCACTGTTTTGAGTTACAGTGGGTTTTACCTTTGCTTGCAGCTGTCTCTGTCTAAACTTGGGAAAAATTCAGCCTGTATGGTACATGCTCTGTGCAGAGGAATTTTTGGGGAGCTCACCCACAAAGCTCTAGCTCTGCTCTGTGATGTGGCAAACTTGAAGCCAAAACCATCCATTAACCTCTTCATTAATAACATGCTTATCTCTTACCTGATAAAGGGTTGGTGAAATCTGCTTGCCCTGCAGGAACACAGGCTGTACGTGATTCAAGCTGAACCTGCAGCCAGAGATTTAGAGCTTCCTGAAACTCGTGGTGTATGAGTCCCACATTGACATACTCCATCCACAAATCCTGAACCACAAAAGAATTAAATTATCATTCCTGTTTTGGTCAGTACCATGCACTGAGCATCCATCCTAGCAGGTGGGGAACTAAAATAAGTGCATAAAAACAGACCCCGTGGTTTAAAGTCGTAAGAAATTTATTATTAAGGGGGAAAATTATCTAAACTGAAGAATTCTCATCACATATGCAGATAAACTACTGAAAAGTATTCATGACACATCGAGAAAAAATCTGACATGCAGTATAATTTCTGGCAAATAAGAGACAAAGAGTACTGATTATTAAAAATCTGTTCTTAAAAAGGGAACATGGGGACCAAGATAGTCTAAAACATCATGGCATAACTAACAGCAGCCAGGCTAAAAGAAGTTGCATTTCCAGCAGTCCCATACACTGGAGGAACAAAAACAAAGCAAGCATGAGGAAATGCCCTTCCAAAATCTCCCCTCTCACGGGTTGTTTAGTCTTGCAATTCTTTAGGTTTGGTGGACAGAATAAGACATACTTCCCACTCACAAACTTATATTTGAACCTGACAATTTACAGATTACCAACACGAGCAGGTTTTGGCTTCCAGTCCTTTGTTATTTAAAATTCCAACTTCAACAATTCTCTGACGTTACCTCAGAATGCAAATTACAGAACAGTGCAGAATAAGGACTGTTCTCACTAAGATACGCAAGGAATCTGCTTCTGAGCCCTCTTTCAAACATAAAGGAAGGCAGTTTGCTGCATGTGCGTTAAGGACTAGTGACACCAAGTCTCTCACTGATTTCAAGGACTCATTTTAACAAGTGAACTTTGGATCCCAGAGTTTCAGCGATACTAGCACCTCACCTGTTGATTCTGCATGATTTTAGCAAGTCTGTGTACATCAAACTGCTTTGGTAAAGAGGGAATGTATGTGTCTCCTTTCTGGAAACTCTCTTCTTCCAACCACAAAACTAAAACATTACAAAGCCTGAGGGAAAAAAAGAGAAAAGAAGGGAAAAAATATATCAGTGTGAACTCTGATTGTTTTGGGGTTCAGAAATAAGGCAGCAAGTAAGGCTACAAGGTGATGTGGCTCAAAACTTGAGGTTTCAGGTGCTTTTTAAGTAGTTTGCTGTCAGTTCAAATACCACCAGTGAAATGAACCTACTCAGAAAAATATAAAGAGCAATTAACAAAGAGTAACAGGACAAATTCTGAAAAGGAAAACATTTATTCCAATTAGCATAAGACCCAGGATTGGAATAGTCTCTTATGTCAGGGAATCTCACCACCACCCTACTCAAGAGACCACAGGAAAAAACAGAGTACATGTAAGTTTGCCTGCTCACCCCATGACTCCTCCAGACTGCCTGCTCCAAAAGGCCACAGTCTGAGCTGAGTCACATTCTTCAATATTTTTTTTTTAGAGTCTCATTCATGGCCAGGTTATTCTAATTTCCTCCTCTGCTAATAGTGTACTTTTACATAAATACACCTATTTCTTTGGCTGTCATCGTTCCACTGAGTGGTACCTTTTTTCTAAGCATACCATCCAAGCCTTCCTGACAAGGAAGCTCTAAAATGGCATTAAATCTTCACACTCTGGTATTAAGTATCACTAGCAAACTCCTGTTCCCTAGATCAGTGTCACTGGTGAAAAAATGGAACTAGTTTAGTTCCAAGAAATCAGCCCTTACAAACCCTACCAATAATTCCCCTCCTGTCAAGGAAACTAGACAGGTCATTAAACTTCCTGAGCCTAAGATTTACTTGGGTGTAGAGCAGTCTGGATTTATGTTGGAGTGGGGAACTTCTCTGAAACGAAAGACTGAAAATATTAATCAAGTTACACCCAGTGAGCATCTCTGGGCTATTTTTCACAAAGGACCAAGTAGGATTTATGATCTCCCTTGTTTGTTGGCACAGTACCTGCTGACTGCTGAGGGGAGCACCCCACGGGAGCTCAGATTCCATACACCCAAAGCCCCTGAACAAGGGACTCTTTCCAAATAATCCTTTCACCTGGGTTCTGGGACTATTCAAATACTGTCATACTGCAAAACACTTCTTAGGGAGGACTTCTTAGACCAAAAGTCTCTGTGTTACAGAACCACTGACTTCTGAACAGCAAAGCTGCAGTTTTAGTGTGCCTGAGGCATCTCTTAGAAGTTACCATCCCTTACAAAAGTGAGGGATCAGCAGGTGAGTGGCAGTGAGTGACTGTACCCCTTTCCTTAGCCTACTCCAAGACAAAAAGAGAGCCTTGTGCCAAGGCTTTGGTTAAGCAAAAGGTTACCATTTTTCAGGTGGCAAAGCTCACCTTCAGCTCACTAACCAAGCAAACTGCACAAAGTGAACCATGTGCTCAAGTCCCCAGTAAATCCTGATGAAATCATCTTTTCCAGACATAAATTTAAGCCCTTGTCTGTGACAAACAGATATATACACACCAAGTAGCATCTTACATTTACAGCTAGTGATGCACATGCAGGTACGCCTAAACAATAATGATTTTACCAGCACAGGGATACCACTCATCAAAAAGCAAAGCTTCTCCCCTAAGGGGAGGCCAACAACTATATCAACAATGTTTTATTTTTAGGAGTAAAATCAGCCCCCTCTCCAACAAAACACATTGTCCCAACGGAGGAACTGATCTGACCACAGCTCGGGGACATGGGTTAGTGGTGGCCTTGGCAGTGCTGGGTTAATGGATGGCCTTGATGACAAGTGCCTGCAGCACATCTTAAGGTCACATCCCTTCATGTCTCCCACAGCTACAACTGTGCCGTAGTAGTTACTTGGGCATTTGCATAGAATAAGATGGAACTGGGAAGGCTTTTTTTTTACCTGACAAGCTCCTTATGCAGCGCAGGTGAAGTCAGGTACGCAGGTGAGCAGCTGGCCTTCTCTGGTGACCTGTCAGTGCCCTCAGCAGGGCTCTCCACCCTCAGTGCTTTGCTGGCAGCGTGGTGGAAGTCTGCCACCTCTATCAGCCGCTGCTTCATCTCCTTCAGCAAGTTCACGTGAGCTGCACTCTGGAAAAAATGCCTCCCAATGCAGCCATCTACAGGTAGCCTAGAAAACCAACCAAAACAAGCACAGCTAAGTCTGGCTGCAAGCGCCAAATCAGCACCTCCGCTTGCTGATGTGCAGGAGCAGGTCTGGCTCACCCGTACTGTGGTCCCGGTCGGTGAAGGTACAGGAGGAAGAATTTCTGCCAGATCAGTGGCATGAGAGGGTGATCTGCCGGGGTAGCAAGGGCCTGGTGAGCCCAGCGGTAGATCATGAGCCTCTGAAGGGAAGGGACGATGGGCAGCTTCAGCTGGTCCTGGGCTTTCTGCAGAAACAACACTTTCAGGCAGGTGTTCTGCTGTAACAGGCTGTCACAGGTTAATTTAGCAGAGTAGCACAGCATGTACACTCGGTAATTACGGAGGAGAAAACTTTGGGAACAGTCACACATCTGTTCCAGGTCTTGAAGGATGACCTGCCCAGCCCACAGCTATGCTGGAGAGCAGAGCTACACCTCTAATGCTCAAAAAAAAAATAGTATGATGGCTCTGATGCACGGCCAACATATGGTCCATTGGTGTTAATTACACCTAATTACTGTTCTTCCTCACAAAGGTAGATGCTCCTGGTTTAGACTTCCAGTATGCTACTTCCATCTTTTTCCAGCCTACATTCCACATAGCTCTAGTGAAAATTCAAAATGTAAAGTAAAACTAACGTGAAGAAAGAATTCAGAAGGAAAAGCAGAACAAAGGGAAAGCAACATCTGAGTAGCACCACCCCCTATCAGCAACACCACAGACCCACTAAATCATTGAACAGTCCCCCACCAAGCCCCCCTGGACTGTGCCTGATGCAGGGGAATGCAAGGCTTTTCCCCAGTTCCCAAATCTCAGAGCAGACCCCAGTACTACCTCATCCCCTCCACCACACCTTGGGAACCCTCAGCATCCTTTTTGCCACACACTACCCACATTCTATTTGGCTAAATCAAGACATGCAAGCCGAAGGACAAATGTTTTCCAGACTAGTTTTCAAGGATGCAAGACATGCACCAGCCTGGACACGGCCCAGGCAAACCTGTTTTCATGGGGCTTCACTAAAACACACTGAAACAGCTGAGACGAAGGATGGGCCAAAAGTCACACTTTGAGACTGGACAGCTTTGCTTTCCACATGCTTTGCTCCAGAATCTCTAATTTGAATCGGGTCAAAGAACGTGGAAAATGCTTGCAACGTGGCCCAGAGCACACCTGATTAAGTGCCTTGATAAGGGAGAGACCTAAACAGTTCTGAAAGCCTTGGAAAATAATTCAGAAAATAGAGAAAAGTAAAGGTAAAATTCAGATCATCTGAGAAATCATGTGTTTGAAATGTAGACCTTTTTTCCCACCTGAAAAATAAGCACTCCCCACCCCAGTGGTATAGAGTAAATCCATGAGGCACTCAGATGACCCAGAAAGTCATGCAAGAGCACAAATTAGTGAGTGAAGTCTGAAATTTTCTGTATTATTTGCACGGTAGCTTTTAAACGTAAAAGAGCTCAAATGTACTCAAAGTGTAAAAGAAAACTTCCCTGGGGTATATTTTGTCCTGTAAAGCCAGATAAAGCACTATTTATTCTTTTATCCTGGTAAGAAAAAGCACATAAGACAAATCTAAATGATACAAGGGAACACTTTTCTCTCTAATAAAAAGGGATGAACGGTTTTCTCACCTTCAAAGCTTGATCAGGAGTTAAAGCATTAATAACCAGCTCCCCCTCCACAACTCTGCGAAGCTGTGAATCTTCCTCAAATATTGACTCCATATTTAACACCATCCATGAAAACCAGACCTGGACAACACAGAAATAACAGAAAAATTGATAACAAAATAGTAGGGGTAGGATCAGGAAGCTTGCTGCTTTCTTAAGAGAAGTATGTCTTTGACAGATTCCCATTACAAAGCTGGAAAAAGCAGTATCACATCTCACGAAGAAAACCAGTTTCCTCTTTATCCTCACATTCAAACTTCCCCTCTGTATTTTGTACTATCTTGGGAACGAAAGGGAAAAGGAGGGACAACAGACAGAATTATCCTGAGAGTTCTGGAGGAAACAAACTTCTCAAACTCAGTAAAATAAGATCTCCTCTCTCCCACCTGCACTACACATTTGTGGTACTGCAGGGTTTTCTTCCTTTTTGCTTGAACAAGGAACTCAGGTAGAGAGAAAGCAATTAAAATTCAAAATATTTATCAGATAAAGACTGATCTAATAGAAAAGTCAGGCTTTACGTATTTTCTCTTATTAAATAGATCAAGAGCAATTGAAGATTAGAAAGAAAACTTAACTATTAAATCCTATCATGTGAATTCTTGGACACAGATTAGACAGACTCTCTCACTGGAAAATGTCCATGTTCCCTTTTGTGTAATAAACCCTCAGAATTCTCTTATGCTAAACTGGGATTTTATCACAAGAAAACGAAAAAAGAAAATCAAAATCGCTCTGGGATAGGAAGAAAAAGGGAACAAGAAAAAAAATCTGCAAAAACCCACAAAAGCAGGGAAAAAAAGAGCCCCCAAGACACCTGTACGCTGCTTATCCCAGGGCAGTTCACACAACACCATCACTTACCTGAGAGGGATTGGCATTGCCCTCCACGAAGGATGGTGTCACATTGCCTGCCACGATCCAGCTAACAACAGAAGACAGCAGACTTTTGTCACAGTGATAGCCCAAAGCATTCTGCACAGAAACAGAAAACATTTGGGTTTTTCTTTGTAAGAAGCAGTACGATTTAGAAGCTTTAGGTAGTTCAATTTAGAAGATTTAGGTATGTCACTCTACCTTCGTCCAGGTTCCTTTCTGACTCATATTGCTACTTTCCCACCTTAGCTCAGTCAAGCACCACTGAAATGCCTGCTTGTACTTCATTTCTTTTTTCAGTGAAAACATCCTGTTTCACTGAACAGTGCCTGTTTTATTCTGGAGAGGAAGCCCCATTTTTGTTCTAAACACACTACTGAACATATGGAATACGAAGAACACAAACTATGACAGAACTCATGTGAATGAAAACTGTGTTACAGGTCGGTTTTAATAACTACTATCAAAATATCAGACGTTTCACTGATTTTGACCCACTCAGAAGCAAATCAAATAACCTCTGCATCACTTATGTCAGATTGTCCAGAGAAGTTGTGGCTGCCCCATCCCTGGAAGTGTCCAAGGCCAGGCTGGACAGGGCTTGGAGCAACCTGGTCTAGCTGAAGGTGTCCCTGCCCATAGCAGGATCCTGACTGTTCCTGTAGCACCTCAGGAAAACACATTCACATCAAAGCCAGAGTGAGCAACAAACAAAGTGACCATTCACTCAACAGCCACACCAATGCACCACTACTATTTATTACCTTGTGCTGTTGGTAAAGCAGCTTTTGCACACAGTCCTCTTGGCCGTACTGAAAAGCAGCTTTACACAAGCCATCCAGCAAGCAGAGTGTTGCCCTGTCCCTGTGCCACAGCTGCTGGCTGGTGAGGACCTGGACCCAGAACTCCAGTACTGCAGCTGGCCCCACTCCATTTGGCCGGTCGCTTGAAAAAATGTGAGTCTGCCAAATAAAAGCGTAAAATCAGTCAGCAGATTGCGGCGTCGATTTAAGGTTAAGCATCTATTGAGGAACTGTTTAACTTGCTGTGGGGGCATCTATTTCCGAAGTGTCACGTGCTGTTCCTGTAAAAGGACTTCCCAGAGTAGGTCTATTTCCCTTACTCTACTCTAATTGTTAGATGACCTTGCCCCTTGACCTCTCTGCACTTAGAAAAACACTACTGTTCCCTCACACAGCAACATTTTTATCATCCCAAAATGAATCCCCAAACGAACAGCCAAAAGCAAAGCTTTCAAACAGTATTACACTTGCTGCATTCCTCAAAAACACAAATAAGACAGTAGCGCTTGCATATTATATTTCCTTTTTTTTAGGCAGTTTTGGCCTGGTATTAAATTTAAGTAATTAAATTTTCCAAGAAGTCTGGAAGGGAAACGTTGTTATGTCCAATACCACATGCACTGCCAGATTTAGGCAAGTTTAAGCAGAAGCATTTCAGGAAGCCAAACCCAAGTATTTAATGCCTGATGCAGGGCATTCCCTGGCTGCACAGTTGCCAAATTCTTATCCTTTCCAACCTTAAACACCGACTTGGTCAAAACAGCCTGGTTTTAAATACTCTCAGCCCCTCTTTTTTTTTAAATAATCTTCTTACCTGTATCATACTACTGAGCAGCTTAATGTTTTCTCCGTAGTTCACACCTGTCAAGTGCTGTGTCACTTTATGGGTAACCTGCTGGGTAACTCCTTGAGGGACTCCACTGTCCAGATGAAGGAACAGTTTGATGTAAGTTAAAAACCTAGGGATGTCAACAAATGAAATTAACTCTAAAATACCTTCTACTACATAACAAACAGGAAAGCTGCATCTAAGGAATTTAAAACCAGCTCAACTCCACTGCTGACAGATATATCCAAGGCTCTGGCTCACAACCACAATGCAGATTTATCTGCTCCATTTTAGCCATATAATGGGCACAGTATGAACATTTCATGGCAGACTGTAATTCAAGGCAGCTGATGAGGACTAAATACAGTTCTTGATCTACATCAGCACTCAAATCTAGCCCAGGAGTTGTTTGGGAGACTGTCAAGTGGTCCAAGACAAAGGCACCTCAGCAACTACGTTACAAACTGACCAGGACAGACATCTGAAGTACAGCGCTTGACACACTGTGTCCCTACTGATACTGCCTGCTGGTCTTTCTCACTCATCTAACACCACAGCTCCTCGAAACACAGCTGTCTGAAGAACACTTCTGTGGCACAGCAGCAGCATCAGTGACAGCTGTGCATGTGGTGTCAGCAGGACACACTCCTACAACTACTTCCCTCAACCACAGTCAATGCCAAAAAGTTACTCAGCACAGAAACCAGATGTGCTTCCACCATCACATTCTCGCTGGATGCAAAACCCTGCGTGAAGCCACGCAAATTTAACAGGTAAGATTAACTTTCCTCGCAATTATCACAAAGGAAGCAAATAAATATATAAAATAAATACATAAATAAGCATAGCATGAACACAAAATGCTTACTGTTCATTCTTCAGGAGGTAATACTGGCAAGAGTAAAACAAGGGTAAAATTTTATCCAGCACGTGCACTACTGTTCTCAGATGTCCAGACTGGACGAGTACACCCAAAAGAGGGATCCCTTCAGCACAGAACTTCTCAATGCTGTCAAAAAAAAAAAGTATATAATTAAGAAAAACACAATGACTATCAGTAGAAAGGAAGACTGGGTGTTGATTTAGTCTTTATAAACTGAGATGTAAATACATTCATAACTTCACTCTTCATCTTTGAAAACCCAAACAGCTAAATCCAGAGCCTTTTATTCAGCTATAGGAATCACTCAATTCCTGACAGACTAGGTAAGCATTTCCTGCCCTTCTGTGGATTTGTGTCCCATCTTCCGAAAATTCCCGGAGATGCGGGTCTTCATCCATCTATCAGTTTAAAACTTGGTGGTGTTCCCTTACCTAACCAACTTGCCTCCCTGTTCGGGCAAAAGAAGAGCCCACAAAGGGAGTTTCAACATGTTCTGGCTTTGACATCTCCTCAGTTTGGATGATGCTCTGCACATCTTTCTTCACTATTTATAAGTGGACCTCAGAGGGTTTCCTTACAGTAGGTACTCAGGTGGTTGCAGCCAGACGAGATGAATTCTACTCTTAGTGTCCAGAAAACTCAGTAGCAGCAACTTTTTTGGTGCATTGCATCAAGTTTTGCCAACTGAGAAAAGCTGCACATTGGAAAAAGATGTAAAACGTGAATCCTGAGGTCTACTCTGAGGTCATGAAAATGAAATACTGTATTAAGTCACAACCACACAGTACAGCGCTTTGTTTCTTCTGCTCCTAAGCGTAACTGCCCTTGAGTTTTATCATGTGATTAATAATTGTGGTAATTTTTATACAGGAGAAGGATATCAAATGATTTTTTGCAAGGTCAAACAGAGAAGGTGCAGGGGGACAAACTAAAGAGGTTCTTTGGTTTTTTATTTCATGCTGGAAAAATTGCCACCCTCAACCAGAACAACTCCATATCAGCCTCAAATTAATCCAGTGCTTTGAAGTATCTATAATGGCATAATCTTATTATCAAGCCACGGCTTGGAGAAGGAGAAAAAAGCTCAGTTTCTCTTGAAAGAGTAACATAATATTATACACAGAAAACGAGTTGGTGAAAATTTTCAATAACAGATAATTAGAGATCACAGATTCAGGGAAAACAGAGCTGGTAAAGACTAATTAAACTTTGTGCATCTCTGTACTGTTATCAACCAGTATATTTGATTATGCCCAAAAGCCTTACCAACAAATGAGCTGAAAGCACTGGTTAAGACTGTGTTGAAACTGAGTCAGGGTTATGAGGTTCAGTTTCAAGGTTAAAAAGCTCTTTATTTCAGTAAGTGTGGTTAAAAGTTACTCCTGTCCAGAGAAATCATGCTAACCCCACAGTTTCAGTACTATTTCTAATGACTATTTTCACCTTAACATGCAGAAGGCAAAAAATACTATTAGCGAAATAAAGGAGCTACTGCGTTGTTTGAAAGAATTCAGGAAGAATTCCTTCACAGAAAGGGCTGGCAGGCATTGGAATGAACTGACCAGGGAGGTGGTGGAACTGTAGTCACAGAATCACAGAATAATCAGGGTTGGAAGGGGCCTCTGGAAATCATCTAGTCCAACCCCCCTGCAAAGGTAGGGTCACTTGGAACAGGACACAGGAATGCATCCAGATGGATGTCTCCAGAGAGGGAGACTCCATGACCTCCCTGGGCAGCTGTTCCAGTGCTCTGCTACCCTCAATATAAAGAAACTCTTCCTCACATTGAGGTGAAACTTCTTGTATTGTGGATTACGGCAATTGCTCCTCTTCCTATTGCTGGGCACCACTGAACAGAGTCTGGCACCATCCTCTGACACCCACCTCTGAGATGTTTATGTGCATTAATGAGATCCCCTCTCAGTCTTCTTTAGGCTGAACAAGCCCAGCTCCCACAGTGTCTCCTCATAAGAGTCCTTTTTTGATTCAGACAGGCACAAAGAACTTTAACAACCCTCGGCTCGCCATCAGGGAGGTTGCTCAGCCACTGGGGCCACCCATCCAAGGCAAACACACATGGGAAGCAGTTACCTGTGCCCCAGGGCGGTCATGGCCAGTGCCAGGTAGCAGCCTATGGGGATGTTTGCCTTCACAGCCTTGAGCAGGGGGTGCAGCGTGACCGACTCGGCCGTGTCGAGCGCGCTGTCGCACACGGGCACGGGCGGCCCGCCCTGCGGCACCCCGCGGTCGTTCCTGTGCAGCTTCAGCCTCAGAATCAAACTCCAAGCCCACTGGTTGAAGGAAGTCTCCGGTGTTTCCCCGTACCGAACGATGCTGGCTAAGTAGGAGACCTGGGACAGAGGAGCAGGAGCAGAAATGAGAGGGAGCGCAGCCCTAATAACAAAGCACTGGGGCTCCAGTCTGGGACCTGGGGTAGCTTGGATGGGCCTGCTCTTCTGTCACAACACCGTGACACAGGGGCTGGCACGTGGTGATCTCTGGGGTCCCTTCCAACCCAAACCTTCTGTGATTCTACCATCAGACCAGCAGCAGTTATTCTTTAGACGCACCATGTAGTTTATCTAAACACTCCATTCCAACTGCCTTGATTTCCACCTCCTCTCCCTACCCCTCCCATCCTTTTTAGTAAAGGCTGTCAACTTAACACTGTTCGCCCAGATTTTTCCAAGCCAGATGTGGATCTTGGATTGAATTTTGATTTTTTACTAATGAAAAGAGAAGGCCACGCAACAACCTGCCGCAGTGTTTACAACGTTTAAGACTGCCAGTGAAAGGAAACAGAAAAATAAATGCAAAAAAGTAGCAAGTGTCAAACACACACACCCCCCCCCCAAAACTAAAACCTGGCAGCCTCTCCTTAGAAAGAAGTCTGTAATGTAGACAGGTAGAGTCTGTGCCACGTACATGTGTCCATGGTCATGAAAATTCTGTTTAGATCAGAAAGAACTATAAATCTTGGGAAAAACAAAATATTGTACATGCTCTGACAGAGTAGAGTAAATTGCTCTCAGAACAAGGGTACAAAAACCTAAGCACTATTTTCTCTCTAATTCCAGTTACAAGCTCAGGCAAGTCAGGACAGATTCCCCAGTACAAGTGGCAGCTGAGGCTGAAATAGGCTTAAAATAGAGAACTCCTCTAGCTGGCACAAGACAATGAACCATGGCCAAGTAGTGCAGAGGGGCAAGTCAGAAAAGAGCAGAGACAACAAGGAACGTGAAGAGTGTGGGAAGAAAACACGGGAGGAAAAATCACATGGGAGGTGGAAACACTGTAAAAGAAATACTGAGAAGACCAGGTACAAGACAAGACAAAGACAATTTAGCACAAGGCTAAAAGCTCTGAATAAATAAATAGAAGTATCTTGGATTGAATAATGAAAATTGGGATTTTTTTAACCCTGATCTTTCTATCCTTCCATTCCCCTTCTGTAACTTGGAGCTATCCCTCCCTCAGTGACCAATGTGCTGTAAAATCAACGTAACAGACATTTGTGGGGTGTTCAGGTCACACAGCACTGACTGAAAAGCTCCTAAAGGGATTAACACCTGAGTCTTGAAATAAGGTAAGACTAAGAGCTGGAATCACAGGGAGGATGTCTCTTGTGCTCCAGGTTGTGACTATTCAACTACAGATCTACATGGGGGTGAAAACTAAAATATCTACTTCAAGAAACATGGGGAGAGAATATTTGCAAGGGCCTGGAGTGACAGGACAAGGAAAACGGCTTCATACTGACATGGGGCAGGGTTAGATGGGATATTGGGAGGAAATCCTTGGCTGTGAGGGTAGAGAGCCCTGGCACAGGCTGCCCAGAGAAGCTGTGGCTGCCCCATCCCTGGAAGTATCCAAGGCCAGGTTGGACGGGGTTTTGGAGCAAACTGGTCTAGTTCCTGCTCACAGTACAGATGATCTTTAAGGTCCCTTCCAACCCAACCGAAACCATTCTATGATTTTATGATTCTCATACAAATGTTCCACATAAGCCTAACAGCTGTTTTCAAACAGCTCTGTGGGTGCAGACAATACTGAACGTTGGTAGGTTATGGTATTCTAGCAGGATGAAGAAAGGGCATCTTTAAAAAAAAATAAAAGAAAGAAAACAAGGTCTTGACTTGCAGTTCTTCCTGTTTATCACCATCCATAAGCTAGTGCCTGTAATTCTGAAGAAGGGATACCTGTTTTATGCTTTCAGAAAGCAGCCCAGCATATGGTTTCTCAGAGAGATATTTCTGATACGCTTCCAGGACCATCAATGCAACTTCAGAATGGACAGCTGAATCCAGATGAAGAGTATCCTGCTAAACACAGAATCAGAACACAAAACTCTCTGTCCACTTAAAAGGTCTCTAGAACTGTATTGCTCAGTTGCACTACAGAGAAATAAATATTAAGCTCTTTCTGGCAGTTTAAATTAAATATTGCACCATGCAGGCAAAATCTTGCCCATAAGAAAAATTCAGCCCAACATTTAAGAATTCTGGGCTCACACAGGGCAATACATAGGTAGATTATTAAAAAAAAAAAAAATGTTGATCACAATCACTTTCCACGTGCATTTCATGAATTTATAGCAATTAATCCAAAAACCCCTAGATGCCATTTTAAATTAAGTAACACAGAAACTGGAATTCTTCCCTTTAAAAGCAAACCCAAACCACATCACCACCTTTTTTGTATGAAAACACAGAAATTCCTCTTATCAACTGCCACATTACAGAACTGTTTTTCTCCATATCAAAAGGCACAGACATGGTCCTGTCACTGCACAGCAAAGAACTCTGTTCATTTTCCCTACCTTTTCCCCTTTTATTCACATGTCATCAAGAAACAGGGAGAAAAAGTCAGTATTTTTATAAAGGCATCCACACAGCAAAGAGAAGAGTTCAGAATGACCAAATGCACAGGCTGCAATGCTAAAATGGATCACAGAACACAGACAACAAGATTTTTTCTCCCAATCTATTTCTGTTTCTCTCTGACATAGCATTCACCCTCTAGTGGATCCTGAACTGATGGAGCTCCTGGAGTAACCCAACACATGGACCAACTTCCAATCATTCAAATAGTGCTCAGGGTTCTGAAATTTTTCATTTCAAATCATTGGTTTTCTTGCATTGTGAAAGACATACTTGGATACCAGCAGGCAAACTACAGCCACACCAGTCTCCTACACACTTCTTGGAAGATTCCTCAATTTCTGCAGCCACAGGTATATCTTAATCATAAAAAATTGTCCTGCCAGCTGCTTTCTCTTGTTTACAGAGAGGAAACTCTCTCTTAAATGTCTCTTTTAATCTCAGTTACAAGAAAGCAGCATGAGCACAATGCTGTAAAATTACTGTGAAGTTTCCACCCTGTGCTGTTAAGTGCACTGACATTATATAAAGCCTGTAATTAACTGTTTTCTTGTTCATTTCTAACCCCAGGTTGTGTAAAGCTTTTGCTCTGAAAATCTGAGGAGTTTCAAGACTGTTTTCAATACATACCTGCTCCCCAAATCCCCAGTTCAGCCCTTCTAGGATAATGCAGGCAAGCTTGTTCTCCACTGCTGTCAGGCTGTAATTTAATAACCAGTCACGAATCAGCGCTATCTCGGATGCGGAAGGCTTCCACAGGTACAATGGCAGCTCTTTAAACAGGTACAAAGAGACCTTTGAGGACAGAAAACAAAAAAGGATAATCAGGACTCAACACCATAATCAGCATCATGCCCTTTCTGTCCTAAGGAGTGGCACGACCGAAAAAACCCCACAGACAGGTCTTTACACAGTCCATTCATGCCAGGACGTGTCTTGTGACACAGTCTGGTTATGGCCTCTGGTTTTAAGTGCTTTAAATGATGGACACTGTCACTTACCATCCCAACCTTCTCAATGGTCTCTCTGATTCGATCCAGCAGTATGGAAATAATCTGTGTGTGGATGCTGGCAATGGCTCCCAGGAGTTCTCGACCGACTTTGGAAAACGCCTCTCTTGTGGCAAGGCTAACATAGGACACCTGGGAGTATCAGCAGGAAGAAGTTACTGGGCTTGGCTGACCTTCACTGGCATTGAAATAAAACGTCTTTTGGGAAATACAGAACAAAATTGCTCTGGTAATTGGTGCACTAACATTACTGATAAATGCCAACATTAAACTGAAAATGACTGCCCCAGAAGACAAGGGAAGTACTATGTATCAGTGCCAAACACGAAGTCCAAAATTAAACACAGGACCAACAAAAAAAATTACAATCAAAATCTAGAGGCAACAACAAAAAAAAAAAAACACACCACACAAGCAAGTTCAGAGCTACAGGTTAGATCTGCACTAGAAAAATAAAACAATGCAAGAAAACCACCAAAAAAACAGAAACAAAAAACCACCAAAAAAACCCCAAACAAACAAAACACACCAAAAAACCACATAGACACAAAAAAAAACAACAAAAAAAACAAAACCAAAACAAACAAAACAAACAAAAAACAAAAACAAACACAACCAACACGTTTTGGATTTGTTTACATAAAAAGCTGTTCTTTTTCCCAGAAATAAAAAACAAATCCTTCAGGTTATTTTCATTCAGTGACAGATTACAAATCTCAGAAGCAGTACTTTCTTAGTTCCATGGAAGAATAAACAACAGAAGCCAAGAAAGTTCCACACCTTCCACTGTTAGAAACAGAAAGAGCACTTCCATCCTTCTCCTGAATGGACCAGTAACATTACCCACCTCATATATCTCCAGAACAATGATTTTGATAAAATCCTCATCAACATCGGCACGTTTGGTTTGTGCCATCTGAGCAAATGTGGTGAGCAGACAGATTTCTTCCGAGCAGTTCATTGACTGGAGATACTTTTCAAAATTTTCAAGGTGCTGTGGGTCTAGAAAAAAAAGTCAAGTGAAAGAAACATGATACAAGAAATGTTATAGGACGGATATCAACATTTATACACTTACTGACACTTCAGTCCTACAGAAGGAACCAGTGACAAAGGAATTATAATCACTGGAGTCTTGTAAATTAGTAGCCTCTCTTCAGGAGTGGCTGAAATTCAATTTTTAATATCATTTTAACTATGCCATGTCCATCATCCACAGGGAGAACTGCTTGAATCTTTCTGCTTTTTAAAAACAGGATCACAGTTTTGGCTTCCATTACATACCGGAGCAGTTAATTCCACAGATTAACCCAAATAATATTAAAGGATTCTAGTTTTCATCAGGACACAGCCATGAGAAGATTAAAACTCAGTCCATCCAAGCACAGCAGAGAGATTTTGATCAAGTTGAGAGAGACTGCCCATTTCACATCCCACGATCCCAAGCAGCAGTTAAACTGGGGGGGACCATCCTATGCTGATTACAAACAGAAATACTGCAAGTATCTTACCCTGGGCTTAGATTAGGCCTAAGAGTTACAAGGAAAGGCCAGACTCAATCTCTCAAATTCAACACAAGAAAAAATAGTGCATGTACTTCTTTGGAACATATCTCTGAGAACAGAGAACTGAAGCTGCACAGGAAGGAAGGCTAAGAGATGCTCTCATTCAAATTTAGGACAGGTTTCCTCTTTAAACCCAACAGCAAGATGGTGACAAACACAAATAAATATTCCATTCCTAAGGGTGGGGGACACCAGGAAGGTAAGCGTACAAGGAGACCTCCACGGGGCTTTTAAATAATTTAAAATTAAATAATATTAAATTTTTTTTTTTTATAAAATAATTTTAGATTAAAATGACCTATAACTAAATAGAATCTCTGCAGCAAAGCAAGGACTGAAAGCAGCACTTGGGCTGCAAAAAGGTTTGGAGAGTGGTCTGCCTCCCCTGAAGCACAACAGTGTGCCAGTAAGCACTTTTTACAGTGATTTTACCACAGCAGTGGCATACACAGAAAAAGCATTCATTGTGGCACTCAGCTACCCAACCTGCACAGGCACGTGCTCAGCGGGCTTGTGATTAAACTCTTGCACTTGGGTTACAGTCTATGTTAAGGGCTTTCAAGAATTTTGCAACTGTCCTACAACCTGAGAAGGTCAGGCTTGTACAGGCAAAGCACCTCATGAACAGCAGGCCGGAGGATTGTGCAATTTAAGAAACGTTTTTTCCATACAGTAGGATAAACTATGCTCCTGGCAGATACAGCAGACATAGAGGGGATGTCTCATCCATCAGCCCCCCCTTTCCTAATGTTATATTTAATCCTTATGGCAGAAGTTATAGAGAATTGTGTTCTCTTATTGTTAGCAGGTTTTTTAGGGTAATGCAGAAGGACATTAAGAAATGACCATGCCATCACTGTATCCAAAGGCATAGCACAGTGACCCACAGCGTGGGGAAGGCGTTGCCTGTGGGCTCCTCAAAACCACACCAAGCCACCGCCTGAGACTGAAGGATGGGGACAAGGAGTAAGGCCAGAAGAGACCCTCCACTTAAACCCTGTCACCTCACAGTGGAGCCACAACATTTTCACCATGCACTTGCCAACAGAGCCAATTCTCTTCCTCAGGCCACACTACAGCTCAAGTTCACAAGACACCCTAAAAATCAGTGGCTCTTCAAATCTTGCTACTGGCAGTAAGGAAACTGACCAGGAATGGAATCCCACAATGCTAGAAGGGTCTGGCTTAGAAGAGACCTTAAGGATCACCTCATTCCAACCCCCTGCCGTTGGCACGGATGCCACTCACTGGAACAGGTTGCCCAGGTCCCCATTTAAGCAGCCTTTGAACACTTCCAGGGATGGGGCAGCCAAAACCTCTCTGAGGTTGTGTTGTTCAGCAGGTCCTCACTGTCATTTGCAATGGAAGCAAAGACAAAACCCTACACTTATAAAACTTAGAGAACACATGCTTGTGATCACACAGGGATGAAATATCAAGGGGAAACTACTTGGTCCTTGCTTGTCAATGAAAACATGATATCCACAGCAAGTTTGTTAACATACTCAAGAATACCTCAAGTAATTGGATTTTCCTTAATTCCCCAGGGGGGTATTTTATTATATCTAGTATGTCCGTAGAGGTTGTCCTGGCAAGCTCAGCTCCCTCACAGCACTCCATTTCATCAAGCTATTTCTGACTATTCCTTAAAAGCAACTATGCTCCCACCTCTACATCATGGAAGCTTAAGCTTCCATCAGTTACCAAGGTTTGCTTCCACCTGCAGATTCGCCACTCTTGTCTGAAGCTTAACTGGGGAAGGAAAATCAATAAAAAAGGTTCTCTCCCAAGGGAATGTTAATGTCATGGTCTTCCCGGGTATTAATTACAGTAAATTAAGCTTTATATCAATGTCAGTGAAAAAAAGATATTTCAGACAATTAGATGGATTTCACTGAAAGAACTGTTGGTATTCCCTGTCTAGACATAGGTGAAAAACAGCAAAGTGCTGACATCACCCACTGAGGAGAATGGAGAGGATAAAAATATCCTGCATCAGCATACCAGGGAATTTAAAACACAACAAGTTAGCTACAAGCAAAACAATGCCTGAAAAAAAAAATAATTTTAAAAATAAATCGGTGTTTGTTACTGCAACTCACAGCATCACATCATATTCTCCTTGAGATGCAGTAAAAACTGTACAGCAAAAATAATAAAGTCATTCTACTGAAACGGTGTTACTGTTGCTGTTTTGGCTGGGAGGTGCTAATCAGATCAGCACTACTTCATCAAGTGCACTCAACTATGGTGTTGAAACATCTCTCCTACTCTGTGTAAATTGCATTAAACATTAGCTGAGCTTGCACAGAGTCAGGACACTCAGTGACCTCTCAAGATCCCCGTTTTCTTCCGCTTCTCCACCAAAACAGGCACCTGGGCTACCAGCCAGCTGAAAAGTAAAACTGACAAGAATGAGATTTGCTCTCCCACATGACAGCAAAGAGGCTGTGAAGTAGGGAGTTCCTGCTTTGTTTACCTGTCCCCCTGTCCGTCAAGTCCCGAAATATTTCCCACGAAGGCAGCAGCAAAGGGAAAGTAGCATTCCACCTGGCCTCTAAACAACTCTGCTACAGCTTAAGCCACCACAGTCACTGTGGAGATCAACACAGGACAGAAGGCAAGAGGAAGCAGAAAGGAAAGGTGCCATTTAAGACAAGAAACGCATCAAAAGAGGGCTTGAGATAAGGGAAACACGTAATTGTGGAAGACAAGGAGATCTCCCATAATGTAAGTTACTGAAGTCGAAATTAGCAGGTTTGGAGGGGGGAGAAAGGGAGAAAAATATTATTTATAGAACTGCCAACAGCTCAACAGTCAGCTCACCAAAAACAACCAACCAACCAACCAAAAAAAACCCAACCTACCAAACTAACACTAAGTGATACAGAATTCTCTATTTTAGGATTTAAAACTCGCTCTCAAAATACTATTGAAAGTCAAGATGGGAAGTGGTAGAAGAATATACAAGATGTACCAACTCCATGGCACTCTTGCAGCTCTGAAGCAGCCAGGGAGGAAAAAATAAATGGACAGTATATCTGAAAATTGCTGTTAAAATAAGAGCTGGACAAACAAGTACTGGAAAACCATGAAATGCCCAAGACACTTCTAAGGCCACTGGACCAGCCATGCTATTGAGGGTGTATTTAGCAATGCAACCTGCAAAGAATTAAACCCACAGCTGCTACAGCAGCAGCTGAATGGATTAGAATCAGTTCTGTGGGTAGGAATTCTACCTTTGAGTCTTTGCTTGCAGTCAGCAGGTTGCAGGGCAGAGCAGAGCTCTTCCAGGTTCTCGTTCTCAGCACAGTGCATGACAAAGAAGAGCCTCCAAAGCATGTTGCTGGATAGCGTCCCATAAGGCATCTCGGACATGAACAACCAGACTCCCAACCTGTTGGATTTGAAGAGGCAATTAGAAACAGTTTCACCCTGATAAATCCCAGCATCTGAAAAAGGAGACCTATGCCCACATTTCTGCTATACAACAGAACTGGGAATTGTGAGGGTGTGTATTAGCACCTCAAACTCTGAGTTAACATCATTCTGAACTGAGTAAGTCCTTACAGCTTCTGCCAGATGCTACAATCAGTGGCATAATTCCTCCCCATATTGATGCTCCCAATGCACTGAAAAAAATCCCACGTATTTCAGTCTTAAATTTAAGTCATTTAAGCATTTAAAGTTACTCCAAATCCCATTTTCAAACATCTAACCTCCTCCAAGATAAACCCAGTACAAATCACAGGGCACAACCCACCTTTTGGCCTTCAGAACATGTAGAACAGTCCTAAAAAACAGCTCATCAAACTCCAGTTGCAATTTTTCCAGAGAGTAGGGATGTGCTACTGGTCCAGAGTGTCTGTTGCCACTAACGTATTGGGCCCAGTGGTCACTCACATGACAAAGTATCATCCTACAGCAGAGCAAATAAAGTCAAAGGGGGGTCATTAAGTATGTCATCACCACATGAAAACACAGGCAAGGCCAACCAGATCAGAGTCTACTCACAAGATACATGGCCCACCTTTTGCCCTCTGCCTTCCAGAGGTTTCTACAGAAATTCCATTAACCTAAAATTTCTGTGTTCTCCCTCCTTGGTTTTGCAGGTAAACAATACAAATTATTCTGTTACACCAAATTAATTTGTGTGTGACCTTCGGAGCCTTAAGATAACCGTACACCATGAAATGGCAGTACATGCAGAAAGCTCATTCAAGAAAAATTATACTGAGAAAGTCACTGCTCACATAACACAAGAAAAAAAAGGATTTGTTACTGATTTAACTGTATTCCCTCTTGAGAATGTGCTCCTAGAAGCCATATATAAAGTGACTGACAGAGATTTAAAAATAAAGAGCAACTTTTAGGTCTTGATTACGTTTACTTACTGCAACAGTATCAATGATTTTTCAAGGAGCAAATTAAAAACCCTACAATAATTCTGGGTAACAACAGAAAGAAAGCAGTGAGCACTGGATATAAATAGGGGTGCTTCAAGGAACTGTTTGCTGGATTTCAGTGACTTCCCAAGACAAGCCTAACCACATCACTGATGGAAGTCAGCCTCGTGTTCCACAGATCACCCAGCTCCTTTGTGCCATAGCATGTAGATTCTGCAATTCCCCACTTCACAGGCAGAGCTTCAGAGTCAAGGACCCTGGGATTTCAGATTCCCAGACTGCCTAACCCTGAACTGACCAACTCTGAGAGCAAACTCTACCCAAGAACCGCTTGGGTGGGGTTTGGCTTTTTTTTTTTTGGTTGTTTGATGGTTGGTTCTGGGGGGTGTTTTTAGCAGCTCTGAACTTTAAACCAGACTGTATGAAACGGATTCAGTCACATCACAGAGAAAATGTTCTCTTACTTGATGAGATGACCAATTCTCTTCACAAACTGTCGGTACCGTGCTCTGTTAAATGTTTCTAACCCCACAGACAGAACTTCCACTAAGGAGTTTGCAAAGGCAAAAATCTTCATCATCTCCTGAGGAGATGTTTTCTCAGGAAAATAAGCAGCTAAGACCAAGACAGAAAAAGAAGACCAAAAAAGAGAGTGTAAGTTTGGGGTTTTTAAGTAACTTAAGAAGCACTCAAAGCAACCACTCACCATATGGCTGTCAAATAGTGCATGATTTGCCAGCTTTATAGCGAATTGAAATGTATGGTTTTGTTTATGAAATGAACAATAATACCTGTTAAGTATCAAAGTACAAACAAACTATGGAGGTTATAAGCGATCTCTAGCAAGAAATTATCTTCTTGCACTTGTCCAGAGATTTTGCAAAAAAAAACAAAAACCAAAAACAAACAAACAGAAAAAGAGAAAAATCACAGTAACATTACAGCTAAAAAAGGCAAGGGGAAAAACAGTTCTGGAAGCATTTTTGGGAGTTAACTACCAACTAGATCAAAACTCAGGGAAAATACTCTGATGTTGTGCATGTTCGTAATGCTGTAAGTTTCCAATTTATACATATGCTTCCATATATACTTGCATGTCATCCATTTAGCCTGTGAGTTGTCACTCAGGTTCATTATTACTTCACTCAGAGTCTCAAAATGCAGCAGCATTCTTGGCAGTGGTAGCCATTAATACAATTAGCACAAGCAAAATGAAGAATAACTTTTTAGCAACTGATTTACCTCCAGACTTAAACCCGAGGAACTGCTGAAAGAGCTCATGGAATGGAAACTGTGACAAAAGAGCAATCAAGTCGTCTTCCGAAAGCAGAATCCAGCTTGTTTCAGGATCCTCATCCTACAGACAAACACAGGTGCTCTTAGTGGGTTCACAATAAAACAAACGGTAAAAGTGCTTCACTGTTGTGTTAATTACAGTTTTGTGGGCAGTAACTCAGACATTTGAATTCCATCTGTTAATACCCGTTCTAGGAAGCTCCGTGCTCTGCAGGGGTAAAACCAGAGTACAGCAGAAGAAAAATTTCAGATCGTGCTCTTTAACTTAACAAGTCAGCTTTTCTTCATGCTTTTCACAAGGATCAATAAGCTTGAGCAAAAGCGTAAAGGGAAAAAAAAAGAGAAACAAAAATAAGTCATCTGACATACCTCTTCTCCTCCTTCGTCTACCAGGGTCCAGTTCCCAGATTCCTTCCCAGATGAAGAGGAACTCTTCCTTGGTTTCATATGGCACATGAAGTCCATACGATTTCTGGTTTAAAGTGAAAGATCAAGTGTAAAAAAATTTTAGAAAATTAAAAGCTCTGAATTAAGTCATCTTTAGTTAAGAGAGGGTATTAAAAAAAAAAACAGATACAAGAAATTAACAAGTGCAGCAGAAAGCTGCTCAAGCAGAAAAGGCCCTAGTGACAGCAGCTTAGCACCTTTACTCAGAGGGTTCTGTTGCAGAGACACAACAGGCCACCATGCAAAGCCAGAGCTATTCCAGAAGTCACAGTAAAAAAAATCTGCAGGTCTGTCAGTGTTCAGAAGCTATTTCACAGTGGACAGCAAGCTGCATCCTACTGTGTACAGCAGGAGAAGGTACTGCCAAGGCTGAATTTTAAGGTGAATGAGTAAAACGTGTTTATAAAAGCACATTCATACTCACTTGACAGGAGACATCAGCAAGGCAAGAGACTGCATGAAATGAAAGACACCCGACGGGTTATCCAAGACCTTGATCTGAAATCAAATGCACAAATCTAAGAAAATCTAAACAAGTAAAACAAAGGGCAAATTAGTTTCAGCAAAGAAATTCACATCTTTCCCAGGCATTTTGTTAAGACTGAAAAATATCCATAAGAGACAGCACCCACACACTGGAGGAAGTATTGCCACGGAAAAATATTGCGAGTTGTCCAAAAGAAATACTTATAAAAACTACAGGAGGTGAAAAAAAACCCCAAACCATCACAAAAAAAAAAGAAAACTTTTTTGTTACATATGAAGATCTGGGCACCAGGGGGAGTTCAGACATTGAGCACAAGGAAAGTTGGTATCCTACCAATGGTTAACGATTGGGCTCAACGATACTAGGGGTTTTTTCCAACCTAAATGACTCTATTCTATACTTTTATTGCACCATTTGACTTTCCTGTTAGTGCAATTGCAGTCCCTTTCCTCTGGCTAGATTTCCAACATTTTCTCCTCTTGGAGGAGCAAATATGTTCTTTGAAAGAACACCCTAGTGCCTTTGAGTATCTGCACTCCCTATGACCTTTACAACCCTTTCCTCTACCCCTGAAATTAACTAACAAACTTTCCATGGAAACCAGTCCCATTTCCATGTGTAGGATACAAAAACCTGTTCTTCCTCATCCCTTGCACATCACAGAGCTACCTCCAATCTCACTTGTCTCATACACAGCTGCTGCTTCAAGTCTAAATGTTCTTTCCACTTCTTGGAGAACACTCCCAAAACCTGGTGCATGAGGTACATGGCAAGCCCTTGACTCCCTTTCCCAGAATCTCTCTAGTCAAGAGTGAAGTGTGCTCCCCTGTTAACCTGCACAGGGTTGGGCTATCAGGGGTAAGTTCACCCCCTGACAAACCCCTCAGCTTCACCACGATTCCACACACCTGGAAGGAGTGTCAGTCATGAGGGAATTGCTAGGCAGCAGACGCTCTCCTTCTCTTACCCACTCCCACTTTCTGACAATAAAGAATTAAACATTCACACCTGAATTAATGGAGAAGCCCACTGGCTGATCCCAGATGGACACCGAAGGATGTGGTTTAAGAGGAAGAGATGGTCACCAGGGCAGCCAACTCTTTGCAGCACAGACCCCTAAAGGGAAGTGTATTGGGATCATGTAAATAATTTCAAAGTAATTTCTTTATAGCCTTGCTAACTAGAGTAATACTGTTTGTTCATTCCTTTTCCCATGTTTTCTAACAAACCTCAATTTTCAGAGCACGTTACAAGAGAACAATATTTAAAAGTCTGCTTCCTTGGCTTATAAGCCACAAACGGTTTTATTTGGTGTAGAATAATTAATTTTTCTACAACTTCATTAAAATTATTATTATTATAATTTATTAATTTATTTAGAAATCAGCAAGAAGACACGTTTCTCAAACATGACAAGTCTGAATAGTTTTAATGTCAAAATGAGTAAAAGCATAATGAATATTACTAAGTCCGCTATGAGCAGTGCTGGCTGCTCAGGTGTCAGTCCTCATTAATGCTGCATGACTTCATCAAACAAGGGAATCAGTTTTAAAGATGTGCTAACAAATTCTGTCCCTCAAGTAGAACAAACCACATCCAAAAAAAAAAAAAATAAAATTACTGCCCATGGGACAGTGGGAGAAACAGTAACACTTTCAGAAATGACTCCTGAATTCACCCCATGTGTTGGATCAGATATATCCATGCCTGCTCCCTCACCAGTCTCTGCAGCCACATGAGAAGGTCACTCTGAAACTGAGGATCTTCAATAACTCTGCGAGTGAAGCTGAAGAGGACGCTGATACATTCCTTCAAGTGGCTCAAGTCTGAAGAAAGGTTCTCTGACTGCTTTAAAACTGTAAATTAAGAACAGAATTAAAAAGCTTTGACAAGCAAGTAGGAGCAAAAGCAGTGGGTTTGGGGCCACATAAAAAACTGCTCTCTGTATCTACAGATATGAAGACATTTAAACACAGCTGCTTGCTAAATCTGTGAGAGAAGAACACTTACACAGAGTACTTCATTTAAGTAGTTTATAATTAAGCACTGGACACTAATTATAAGACTATATCATGGTTACTTGCACAAAAGGCCGTCCCTCAAGATTAACTTCCTAAGAACCACCAAACATACAAACAATCCAGGAGGTGGGGTGGAAAGGGAGGAGGACTAAGAATTAAAAATATCTGGGGCAGGAGGAGGAGAAATACTTTAGCCCCAACACTACATTGGCACGAACTCAAATGAAACACTCAGAATGAAAAACAAAAAGATAATTCTAAGTACTACGGCTGTAAGATTTCAAATGGCCTTCCAAGAGGAAGCAAAGCAGTCAGTTTGCAGCTCAAACAGAAGTCACTCCTGCATTCAGTTTGCACTCTCTAAGTGAGTAATTTAAGGGAATTGAAGTATTTTTCCTGTGAGAAAAAAGTTCCACTGATCCCTATGTAAGATCAACAGCCTTTTGAATCAAAGGAGAAACACTCCAGCACAGAAATCCCACCATAAGACTCCAAAACTGCAGGTAAACGAGGCGCAGGGCACCCTGACCCCCCCAGGGAATGCTCCAGACCAGCAACACACCTTGTTCTTGCTGCTGAAGGGCCACAGACCTCAGCAGGGACGAGCTGATGAGCAGCCTGTAAACGTAGGACTCCACTTGGAGCCGGGACAGCACCGAGGTGTACGAGTGCAGGGCCAGGGTCTGGTGCACGTGCTCTGCCTTGGCCTCAAACAGCTTCTTCAGCTCCCCCAGCACGCCTTCGTTCATCTCCACGGTCTGGTAGCGATGGTGACCCGTCACCTTGCACTGGTCTGCACAGACACCCTGAGAGGAGAGCAGGTATTTCACGTGAGAGGTTTTTCCCACCTTGTTGGGTCAAGCTTAAAGGAAATTAACTCTGATGCAACCCTCTCCTCAACACACTTCAAAGCTTTCGTAAAAGGGGATGCTCCATAAACGGACAAGACAAACGTTTGGGAACATCCTTCACACTTCTCCGACCTGCTGGTTACTGAAAACTCGTATCTTTGACTTCTGGAAAAAAAAATACTCTATATACCTCTGTAACTCAGATCTAGGAAAGGTCATAGAGTGGCTTTTCTGCAGCACTGAGAGACGTAAACAAAACCAGGTGTCTTACTCCCCGCAACTGCACCTGCTTCTCAGTTTACAGACTTTCCATAAATATTTGGATCTGCTGTTTTAAAGCTAAAACATGCACTGAAACAAAATAAGTATTTTCTCAGCTCCCAGAACTGATAACCTGTAGCAACTCCCCACCGAGTGTTTAAAATTTTCAGAAGTTAACTGCACTCTTTTTCCCAAACTGATATCAAAAGCTGACTCCAATCTTCCTCTGCCCCATCTCTAACTATTCAGCACAAGAAAACCACAATAAAAAACATTCCTATCATTCTTTTAATAAATAACATTCCTGTTATTCTTTAATAAACAACATCCCAGGAAACATTCTTCAGAACCAGCACTTTGAAAGCTTAGCTTGAAAGTACCCCTGTGTTTCCTAAATACTAGAATAAGAATTTTACATTGGTATCAAGACATACAATAAATATACCATGAATTGGGATGGAATAAAGCAAGTAGAAAGCTTAGCCAAGTGTCTGATGACCAGTGGGGATGCAAGAGTGAAGCCAGAATTGTTTTCAGTGTAGAAAGTGATTATCACAAAACTGAGAGTCCAGTGAGGTTCAGGGTTATGCCCCAGGAAAAAGGAAAGGATTCAAAACTGTTCCGTTTCTCATCTCTGAGGAGCTGCACTCACAGAAACAGCTGTGAAAGCTACCACATGCATAGCTATTTAGCACCCTTGGACAATTTGGATGATGTGCTGGCTACAAACAGAGTCAGAACAATTTCATTCACTCCCACTGCAGTGCTGAGCTTCAAAGACAAGTGACACAGAACAAGTCTGAGGGAAAACTTTTCTGATGTGTGGCCCAAAGAGCTCCCTAAACCCCTCTGGTTTGCAGACAAAGACGTGGCAGAGTACCATGACCACCCTGGAAGTAGCTAAAGCCATAGCTACACTTACAGAGCAAGTTACTAAACGTGGATGGACCCCTCACACCCTCTGCTCTGAGCAACAGGGCTGCCCCCAAGCACAACCAGAGCTCCTCTGCAGCTGCCAGCTTTGACAGTAGGAATGACATCAATGGAAACTGTCCCTGCAGGCAGCAGGCCAGATGGGACATCACTGCTACAGTCACTGCACCACGATTCCCCCGTGTCTGCCTGGAATGCTGTGGTGCAAACTCCACCTGACGCCACGGGCAGAACTGGGCATCCACAGCTTGTTCTGACTGACTGCAGACACAAGACTGATGCCAAAAGGGACTACTAACACACATCCCACCACCCTACACCCCTCAGAGGTTAAAAATCAAACAACAAACTGGCTTAAAGTCTCAGCAGGATGAGACTCTAAAATACTGGGGGTCAGTGGTGAGGTAGAAAGCAAAGGCAATAATCTCTGGATGTGGAACTGTTGGAGCAAGTCCAGAGGAGGGCCACAAAATTGGTGAGGGGAATGGAGAACCTGCCCTGTGAAGACAGGCTGAAAAAGCTGGAGCTGACAAGAGAAGCTTCTGTGGAGGCCTCATAGCAGCCTTCCAGTACCTGAAGGGGGTCTACAAAAAAGCAGGAAAGGGACTCTTCATCAGGAAATGTTGAGATAGGACAAGGAGTGACGGGTACTGATTGAAAGAGGAGAAATTTAGGTTAGATGTTAGGAAAAATTCTATACTGTGAGGGTGGTGAGACACTGGAACAGGTTGCCCAAGGAGGCTGTGGATGACACAACTCTGGCAGTGCTCAAAGCCAGGTAGGGTAACCTGGTCTAGTGGGAGGTGTCCGTGCCCATGGCAGAGGGCATTGGGACTAGCTGACCTTTAAGTTCCCTTCTAACCCTTAATATTCTGTGATTCTTTTTAGGCAGAACCCCTTAAGCCTGACAAACTCGGCAGCAAGTAAAATGAAATTCCCCGAATCACACCCAAAAAGTTTTGGGTTCAAAAGCAGCTTCAGCAACAGCACCTGCACAGTCTTCTGCTGTTCTTTGAAAGTCCATAGTCTCCCCTTCAAATTTTGGCAGTCAGTTGTCATGGCCTGCAGCTCTGCCTCAGCCAGCAGCAGCTGCTTCCTGCAGCGCATGTAGTTCAGGAGCAGCTCGTAGAACTCGTGCCTGTCCTGATGGGCCACGCTTTCGAATTCCTCGGCATAGGAGTCGACATTCTCCAGCCACGAGCAGGGCTCGAAGATCTTCAGCTGCTCCCTGGTGAAGGGCACCAGCTCTGGCTCGCTGGGCAGCTCTGGGTACAGCCTCTCGTGGTGCAGCAGGGGTTTCACTGCCATGATGGTGGGTCTCTCGTAGGACAGCTCAGCCGACAGGTCTGGGTAGATCGACCTCAGTCGCGGCCGCTGGACACACACCCTGGGCTTCTCAGGGAGCTGTGAGGTGCGGGGAAGAAGCTTCTCTGAAGACCAGGCAAGAGGATTTTTAGCATCTTGCACCTTACTAGCCCCTCTGTCCTGCACAAAGCCCGGCGCTGTCTGGGAACCAGCGGCTCCTGGTTGGAAGGTACTGCTCGATAAATCAGGATTTCTTGATCCACTGGCAACCACTTCCATGGGGCTGTGAGATTCATCCAACTTGCTTTTCCCACGCTCTTCAGCATCCCCCACACATTCCTCATGGGAAGGAGCAGCGCTGAGCTCTTCTGCACCTGTGGGAGGCTCCAGAGTCGCTGTAAGAGCCCCTCCACTCGCTGAAGGTAAATGACGCTGGGGGACATCACGCGTATCATTTACAGTTTTCCCGTCCTCTACTTCATCTCTGAGCCGAATTTCTGTAAATTCTCCAGGATGTTCCACTTGCACCTCCCTGGCTCGAGAAGGCCCTTCTGCCAGAGGAGGGAGGAAGGCATCATCAGGCTCTTGTACTTGGGACTCTTCACTACTTTTCTTCTTTTTTTCCTAGGAAAAGGAAGAATTAACAGTGTCACTGCCAAGTGAATCTCCCCACCCTGCATCCCAAATACCACCATCACCAAAAGCAGTATTGGTCAACACCACATCTCCGAAAGCCTTTAACATATTAAATTTCATAATATTAAAAATAAAAACTAATGTATCAAAGAGATCTTTGCTCTGTATCTGCCCTTAGAAGACTGCCTGTCAGGGTGTATTTTCTTGGTCAGCTCTTGCACAATGCTTCAAGGTTTCTAAGTAAATATCTATAAATATCACAGGACAGAATGTTTCATTAACAGAGAAAATAATCAACATAACAGGACCCTGGCCTCTAAGGAGAGTCACTGCATTACAGTGTATTCACTGTATTACAGAAAAAAAAACAAAATTTGTGATTCATCTCAAGTTTTACAGAATACTTTACTGAATAGAAAAATATTTTCAAAAGAGCAGTTTCAGAACAAAGTCTGCAATATAACCCCTGACTACATTCCAAAACCATCACAACATCTGAACAACTACTGAAATACCTACTTTCAACAGGTAATACACCCCAGAGACACTGAAAAACTCAACAGCGCCATTAAAATTTTAAATCAATTTTAAATTAAGGTTAGTTTGAGCGTAAATAATTCCCATAAACCTAGTCCGAGGTGTAGGCTAGCCTCCTTCCCAAAGCACAGCACAGGGTGTCTGTACACCTACCAGTTTATTAGGAGTGAAACTGAGGAGTTAGGATAAGGTCACAGTGCTCCAGTTTTGGATGGCCCAGATAATGTGACAAAGAACTAAGGTGAAACTGGTACAAATTCTTAACATCCCTTCACGACTGGGGAAAAGATGACAGCTTTGCAAACTTGCTGACAGCGTCGCATATATTTTTACTAAACATCTGATATGCCTTTGCCTTAAGAGAAAGCATGAATGAAAACAGTCCAAAACAAGGCTCGACCTTGATCTCAAGCCTAATTTTACTCCTCGCACATGCTCACAGCCCCTTTACAAAATGGAAACACTCTGGCTTTGCTTTCAAACTGTCTTCCAGTGTATTAAAACCTGTGAACAGTTCTGATCACAAAACAGCTCTGACTCACTCCAAGGCCAGCTAAAGCTGCAAGTGAGAGGTTAAAAACACATCAGTGCAATTCTTAAAGCTGGGACTTGCAATAATAAACACCTCCTGACAATTAACTCGAATTTTGTAATATCCACAGGATACTGTATCACTGAATCACATTTCTGACAGTGTACTGACCCACATACTTCACAGATACCTGCTGGTGCTTTCCTCTCTACAATCTCAAAGTTCCCTCTTGCAGTCCTCATACAGAATAAACTCCCTTTATCTCTCAGTATCCTGTATTCCTCCCAAACACTGCTGTTTGATGAAACAACTTAAAATTTACAGAGCACCTTTCAGCTCTCTCTTTCCAAGGCAATTAAAAAAAAAAAAAAAAAAAAAGCCATAATCCTTAACAGGGATTTCATCTGAGAAAGGATGAAGATGAGAGAAATCAGGTTCTGAACTAACATGGAAGCAAAACCTGCTGTTCTACCAGAATTATGAGGTTTACCCCTAAGTCACATACCAAGAAATTCCAGAATGGTTTGGTTTGGAAGCTTCAGAAACCCTAAAGCTCATCTTGTTCCTCCCCTCTGCCATGGGCAGGGACACCTTCCACTAGAACAGGTTGCTCCAAGCCCCATCCAACCTGGCCCTGGACACTTCCAGGCATGGGAAGATGACTAGGCTCATTAGCCTTGTCCCATGGCTGAGCACTCTCCTCTCCTTGCACACCATCCATGGCACCTCAAGCTCCAAGGACACATGGTTAACTTTTCAGGAAACACACCTGGAGTAACTGAGTGCCACCTACAGAAACAACTAGACACCAAGGCTCCTCTTCACCATTCCAGCTGTACTGGCTTTGCCACCCCGCTGTGTTTCAATCAGCCTGGTGCTACTGGTGCTGCACAAGCTTAACTTTGGGGCTACTATTTTCAGAAAGCCCTGGGCTCCGTTCCACCACTTGGCAGCTCCGCAGCTGAGCCAGCCTTTCTCCCAGCTCACGAGAACTCCAGCTTTTCAGAGGATTACAGCTGCTTCTGAGGCATGGGAGCGGAAAAGTCCTTAATGTGGCTGACCCCCAAACTGCATCCTCAGTACGAACAGAGGTGGGCACAGAAACAGAAATACCAGGGATGGGTCATGTGCAGCACTGGAGAATTATGGGTTGTCACATGTGACACGGCCACTGAATTGTTTCACGGTGAATTCCACCTGGAAGGGAGGGCTAAGGACTGGAGTCACCACACACATGTCCTTAATGAACCGCCAGTGGCACCCGTGACTCACCACCTTCCTGCAGGGAAGCAATTCTCTGAGGCAGCAGTTTTAGGGTTTGACTGCCTTGCACACACCACGGGGCTGAATCAAAACCAAAACAATGACACACTCACTCCTCTGGGACTGCTTTTCCCTCCAATTTTAACTTGCCTTCGGTTCAGGAATCACAGCCATACCTGACATTTAGATTTAACCTTTTTTTTTTTTTACACCATACCAGTCAACTAATTCATCATTTTCACAGAGCCTTTTCTTACTTTAATGCCCTCGCTCTATGCTGTGCAGTTCACAAGAAGAAAGAGGTTAAGATGCTAAGGGTAGCACTTCCATTTTATGAGGTGAGATATTTCAGCTCAGATCATTCCCACAAGCTATTGACACTCTGTATAAAGTAAGTCAAGCCTTCAGAAAGCTGTCAGTACTACTACCGTGAGCAGAGAACACCCTTAAAACAGCATTAAAGCCTAGGAAGAGCAATACTTAAAAACTGTAGCACCAACTGATGAAGCAGCAGCATTGCTATGTGTTATACACGGCCTCGCGTTCTCAGCACTTCACAGACAATTCTATACAAATGAAATGTAGCATCACAGAATCACAGAATAGTTCGGGTTGGAAGGGACCTTAAACACCATCTCATTCCACAGCTTGCCAGGGGCAGTGACATCTTCCACCATCCCAGGTTGCTCCAAGCCCCATCCAGCCTGATGTTCGGACACTTCCAGGGATCCAGGGGCAGCCACAGCTTCTCTGGCCAACCTGTGCCGGAGCCCCACCACCCTCACAGACAACAATTCCTTCTCAATATCCCATCTCACCCTGCCCTTTGGCAGTTTGAAACCACTCCCCGTTGTCTGCCCCTCCACTCCCTGTCCCAAGTCCCTCTCCAGCTCTCCTGGAGCCCCTTTAGGCACTGGAAGAGGCTCCAAGGCCTCCCTGGAGCCTCCTGCCTTTCCAGGCTGGACATCCCCAGCTCTCTCAGCAGGACCGTGCGCTAAAATCCCGTAAATGCCGACAAATTCCATGGCTGCCCAACCGCGGGGCCGTCCCGCAGGACACGGGACACCTGAGGAGGCCGCAGGACAAGAAGATAAACACCTTGTTTACACCCTGCCCCGGCGCAGGGCCTACCACACACACCGCCAGCTGCTCCAAACCCGCGCTGTTAGGAGCGAAAGGAAGCAGGAACCTTTTTTATAACACAAACAACAACCAACAACAACAACAACAACACTCCCTCCCTCCCTCCCTCCCTCCTCCACCAGAGGCCGCGCGAACGCGGATGTAAAACACGGCCTGGCTCGGACACCGCCGAGCGCCGAACGCACCCGGCCGCCGCAGGGCGTGCGGACGCCGCGGGACGCGCCTCGCCCTCCCGTTTTACCCCTCCCCAATCCCGGCTCCCCTCACCCCCGTGCCCTTTACCTTGGCGCGGCCGCGGGGCGCGGCGCGGGGTCCGCGGCCTCGGCCATCGCCCGCTGCGCCCGCGCCCCGCCGCACCGGCCGGGCCAGGACACGCCCCGCCCGCATCGGCCAATGGGGAGCAGGACGGGACAGGGGCGGGGCCTCGCGGAGGGAGGGGAGGGGCAGGGCAGGGCGGAGTGTGAGGGGAGGGGAGGTGCGCAGAGCGGCCGTGGGCGCCTAGGGATCGGTTTGGGGACCCACGGACCGGCCTGGGGACCCACGGAACGCTGTGGGCACCCACGGACTGCCCTAGGGACCCACGGACTGCCCTGGGCACCTACGGACCGGCCTGGGGACCCACGGAGTGCTGTGGGCACCCCCGGACTGCCCCAGGGACCCACAGAATGTCCATAGGCACCCACGGACTGCCCTGGGCACCCACGGACTGCCCTAGAGACCCACGGACCGCCCTGGGGACCCACAGAATGTCCATAGGCACCCACGGACTGCCCTAGGGAACCACAGACTTCCCTAGGGATCCACAGAGTGTCCATAGACACCCACGACCTGCCCTAGGGACCCACGGAGTGCTACATAGGACCCACAGAGCAATGTAAGGACATGCAGAGCGCTGGAGAGATCCACAGGCAGTCCGTAGGGACCCACACAACGCCCACAGGGAAACACTGTCTGTAGGGACCTGCAGACTGCTTATAGGGACCCACAGGCCATCCATGGGAACCCACAGCGCTGTAGGGACCCACACACCGTCCATAGGGCAACACTGTCCATAGGAACCCACAGACCATCCATAGGGACCCACAGAGTGCTATAGGGGCCTACACACCACTGTACGGAGCCACAGACCATCCACAGGGAAAGAGTGTCCATAGGGAGCCACAGACCATCTGTAGGGACCCACAGAGTGCTGTAGGGACCCACACACCATCCATGGGGAAACACAGTCCATAGGGACTCACAGACCACCCATGGGACCCTCAGAGCACTATAAGGAACCAGAGGCTGTCCATAGGGAAACACCATCCA